GTTCCCATAATCCTACAAAATAGTGCAAAATGCACTTTAAATGCTACGAACCACCGAAGTGCGCCTCTAGAAGAGACGCCACGAGCAACAAGGGTAGATGGTTGAAGATCCACGGTGATGAGTGATGTTTGGAGAGGAACAAGGCATAAAAAGCAGATTTAAGATAAACTCAGGAAAAACTGAGACCAAGCTCAGTTCAACCTAAGACACAAAATGCTTAGAATGAAAACATCCGAAATCAAAATGCATCAAATGAAAATCTAAATCACCAACCATGGTGGTTTGAAGAAGGAAAAAACTAGGGGAGTTGAAGGAAAAGGTGAGAACCAAAAACAGGGAGATATGGAAGATAGAGAAGAAGAAAGGAGAAAAGGGAAGAGGGTGAGAACAGGTGGGCACTGGGTTGCCATTGACCCCTAGCCGAAGCCAGGGGTTGATGCCGAGAAGGCTTTCAAAAATTAAGTTTTTTTTCTAGAGAGAGAGGGAGGCACGGTCTCAACTAAGATATATAAAAAAATTATTTTAGGGTGACTATATTGAGGGGTTTGATTGACAAAAAGAAAAAGAGAGAAACGACATGACCCATAAAACTTGCCAACGAGTTTGAATTCACATGTGTGTCACATGAGATATTTCGGTCATTCCATTTCCATGTTCTTGGACGAGGATCCTCTTTGCGGGGATCTGGAAGATCAATTCATCGTGTTCATTCATTGTACATCATGCAATCAATTTTCATTAGGTATTGTTTATATTTAATTTAAAATAATTTCTAATCACACGATGTACAATAAACAAACACAATTAATTAATCATTTGGATCTCATAAAGAAGTTTATAATTCTAAGAGGTGTGCTATCCACACACCCTTTTTTACTTCTCACATACACCCCTTGTTAATTTATGTCCGTTGTTCTTCCTCAATTCTTCCGATCTGACGACTAAAAACTTAAAAGGTGTGGGATAAGTAAAAAGGAATGTGTGAATATCACATCCCTAATCCTAATCCCATGTCCCCGTACTCAATGTACAGAAACACAGTACAAATCCATTCAGTTCCTACCATTCAATTCCTAACTAACTCATTCAGTGTTGAGTGATAGGTTTGAAATTTAGCGGGAATTAAAACTACCATTTCAGTTATTAAAAACACCCTTTATAATAAAAACACTAATTAAATAAATAAGTGTTTGTCAAAACACTAGCATCATAATGTTTGTCAAAACTACCATTTCACTCCAGACTCTACCTAATACTAACATCATTATGTTCAATGCCAAATAAACATCATATTCGTCGTCTTCATGAAGTGGTCTTCAGGAACTCTTATTTGTCTTTAATACGAAAGCAAATGTTCAGAAATATTTTATTTGCCCTTTTTTTTTTCCTTCTTCTTTTAATCCTTCAAGCAAAAGTGATTCCCATAGTAGAGGTTAGTGAAATAAGAGCAGCCTAACTATGAAAACGGGGTTGTAGGGGAACAATACAAGCATTGTGATGCTAAGCGAAGTGGGATTTGTCAATGGGTTTTAGATTTTTGTGAAATTTTGGGTATTAGGTTTTCTAATTGCCTGGAAAAAATCTGAGAATTAAAGAGCAAGAGAGGATAATTCCACAGTTTGGAAAAATACAGAGAACTATTACTGACTCTAAAAAAAGTATATTTTTCTTTTTTAAATATAGAATGTTTAGGGATCAAAATAAGAATTTTGAAGTACTAATAACATTCAATTCCCAAAATAAAAGGTAAAATAATTTCAAATTATATGCATATTCTATGGGGCTGTAACTCAGACTGGGTTAACCATAATCCGCCCATGCCTAACCCATGGGTGGAGGCACTATATATGTCTAGCATAGGCCTAGGCCTACTTTCACGCACCCTTTAAGCCTTTCTAAATATTTAGTATTATATATTTATTTATTTTTTTATAAACTTAGTATTATATATATTTTAGTTTACACAAAACTCTTAAATTCTATTCACCAATACTTAAAATAAGAGGTCTTTTTTTTCTTTTCACCCAACTGCACTCATTCTAAAACTAAATTTAACTATTATTCAATAACTCTTAAAATCTAAAGTCTAGTTTAGTTTTATAAATATATATATATATATATATATATTCTTTTACATTGTCAACCAAAAGAATAATAAACTTTGAGCTTTTCTTCCTTCCTTTGAAATTTCATATATATTTGTCCCAAATTTCCAACCAAAACAATATTAAGGTTTGTAAATTTCTCTATTCTCTTTAACTTTTTACTAACAATATGCTTAAAAAGCATGATCTCCCTAGCATGTTTCATATTGGAAGGTTAACTTCTTTTAATTCTCTTTAATTTTGATTAACTACTCTCTATATTGACTTGATATTGGAAGGTTAATTTTAACATGAAAAAAGCATTTAGTGCCTCCAAAAATTTAATCAGCTCACAACTCCAAGCATGTATTATACTTTCTTGTAAAAAAATATTTATGTGAGGCCCCTCCTTGCATAAAATCCTGGCTCTGTCACTGGTCTAACCCAATATCAAACTTGATTAAGCGTGTAAGAATGAAGTAAAAACCTGCATACACAACCCGATCTCAACCCGATTATTTGTTGGGTTGGGTTGGGTTGATGCTTTGCCTGTTCATATCAACCCAAACCCAACCCGGTTTTTAGCCCAAATTGCTCATGCACATATTACTCATCCCACTTCATATTATATGAGTTAGATACAAGTTTGGGAAAGCTATATGTGAAGTTTGTTGTTTGCTTTTCATTTGAAAATGAATTATAATGTTGCTTTTACGTTTCTTTTGGTTAAAACATTAGTATTATCTTGTCATTTAATTTCAACTTTTTATGGTTGAAACTTGAAAAATGTGTCTCACACTATTTGGTTTGATTTTTTTTTTATATGAATGGTGATGTGTAAAATTAAATTTTAAATAGTTTTGCATTATTTGGTTCAAATTTGAGATTTAATCTATAAAATAATGTGTTATAAAATTGAATTTGATAAAATTGGACAAACCCGAACTCAACTCGAGTAAGTCCGAACCTAATTTAAACTCGAATCCGAATAAATTTGCATGAACCCAAACCCAACTCAAACCCAAATTAGGAATGTTGAAATAGGATTGAGTTGACTATCTGAACCGTCAAAGTTTCACCTATAATATTCTACATACAAGTCCTTCATGCTTGATCATGTAATGCTGAATATCAGAGTCATTTCAACATACCAAATTCTTTATGAATTGTGTAAACGACGGATTTGTGGGGTGTGTTTGGAAAGTAGACGTTATTTTAAAAAATAATTCAAATTTAAATAGTGATTTTTGTTAGGATAAATAAGTTTATTAATACTAAAATTTTGTGTGGAGTATAATCAACATTTGATACTGTGTCAATAAAATTTTGTGTGGAGTATAATCAACATTTGATACTGTGTCAATAAAACAACTCTTATTGAAGTTCTACTAGTGAAAGTGTTTCACAATTTTCATTTTAAGTATGACACTGATATAAAAATAAAATAAAATTGATATATAAAAATTTAAAAATCACGATATTACATGGGAGTAAAGTTAGAATTATTGTAAAAGAAACTAACTAGAAAGCAAGGTTGCGATCTTGACAAGGCAAGGGCGTGGCAAAAACTCATGTGCATGTTTTTTTGTGCCATGGAGACAAGGTTTTTTTATTTTTATATTTTTTTATACCATATTATGTAAGTCTCTTAATAAACTAATTATAATAATATAGTTCAAATTTATATTTGGTAATAATCAAACATAAAACTTCTTATTTATAAATTAACATGAATATCAATATAACGTAATATTGGACCTCTCGCTTACTAACTTTATATACGGTTATATAAATAAGAGAAAACGAGCTATTTAGAATTACAGTCTAATAATATTCAATATTAAGAGAACCCTTCTCAAGAAATAAAGCAACAACTGAGATATAAAAAATGGATACATTCAATGATATAGCGTACACAGTAGCGCTCAAGCGCTATCTAAGGTGGGTCATCGCGATGCTTCCCTTATCTGAGAGAGGTGTGGACATGAAGGCCCCCATCAATGTGGAAGGTGATCTTGGTTGTGTAACAGTCTACTCATAGCAGAAAGATGAGTATATGTCGATGAGCAAAGTCCTTCCCTAAACAAATCCTTGGACCAGCCTGTTTATGTAAGTCACAAAGTTTCTTCAGTTCTTTTTTTGTTTCCAATAAATAATAAATAAATAAAATGTGGCATGTATCGATGCTATTTTCTTACGCTGAAGGCTATAAATTTGAAGGGCTCTGACCAAAATTCTTGTGTATCATCACCCGTGACAAGATGTAAAAATTGCCGATGAGTTCGGGTTCACATGTGTGTCACATGACCTCCATTTCAAAGATATTTCAGTTACTCCACGTCCATGTACCCGTACCCAACGTATGGGGACACACAACAATGAACTCCATTCATATATATACCTAATTCCGTCTAAATTTCCAACCCTTGTTCTGTCTAATTCCGTCGGGTTCACGTGTTTCACATGGCTTAATGCGTCGGTCATATGGTATGCCTAACGTTGGTTATCATGCTGATCAGGATATATGTCAACACAATGTCTCCATCTTTTCTTTTGTAGAAGTTTAAAACTCTACTTGGAATTGTCTTTTGAAGAAAGCATTTTCTCTTACTACCATTATACACCACACTCCACCTAAACATCATATTCGTTGTCTATGAGAAATCGTCTTCAGAATCTCGTCTTTGTTATTAGTACGAAAAAGAAATGTTCATAAACTTTGATTTGTGTATTTTCTTGTGCACTTCTAGAGTATTGTCAAGTTATGGGTTTAGGATTTTTTGAATTTCGGGGTATTAGGTTTCCTAATGGGCTGGAAAGTATCAGATAACTAAAGAGCAAGAGAGGGTAATTCTACAGTTGGAAAAAAAAAAAATCAGTTAATGTGGCAATGCAACGGTTGACAACGGACCAAAATGCCATATTTAAAACCAGTTAATGTGGCAATGCATTACGCATCCCGCAAGAGAGAGAGTTTCTAAATTGAACGGAAACCCTTTTTTGAGTTTGAGTTTTCCTCATTCTCCGATCAATCAAATCTTCAAGAACAAACTCTACAGCAGGTTCCAAAAGGCGCCAAAGCGTTAGTCAAGCAACGGCGGGGTCTAATGACTAGCGCCTAGGTCAGTGAATAATTTTGAGTCCGATTTTGCATCTTTTGAGCAACAAAAAATTGTTCCTTTGGCCCATTTATATTCTCAAGATTTTGATCGTATGGATCTCATGAATCTTCTAATTCAACTTGATAATTATATTCATAATATGAAGATGCATAGTAAGTTTTCAATATTAAAAGGATTTAGTGATCTTACAAAGGTGTGCAAGCTACAAGTTAGTGTATAAGCTTCTTATATTCGTTTTACTGTTAACGGTGCAACCGCTCAAAACTAAATACTTTAGATTTCTATACACTTTTTTTTTCTCTTTCTTGCACATTTAAGGGAAGATCAATTAAGAGAACCCTTCTTAAGAAATGAAGCAACAACTGAGATAATGGATACATTCAATTATATAGCGTACACATTAGCGCTCAAGCGCTATCAACGGTGGGTCATCACGATGCTTCCCTTATCTGAGAGAGGTGTGGACATGAAGGCCCCCAGCAATGTGGAGAATGATCTTGGTTGTGTAACAGTCTACTCATAGCAGAAAGATGAGTATCTATTGTTGAGCAAAATCCTTCCCTAGACAAATCCTTGGACCAGCCTGTTTATGTAACTCACATAGTTTCTTCAGTTATTTTTTTTTTCCAATAAATAAATAAAAAAAAAATGTGACATGTGTCGATGCTATTTTTCTTACGCTGAAGGCTATAAATTTGAAGGGCTCTCTTCCCGAAAAATGCCAATTTTGTCGAGCCATCTCCTTGATCGAAATTCTTGTGTATCATCACCCGTGATGAGATGTAAAACTTGCCAATGAGTTCGGGTTCACATGTGTGTCACATGACCCCATTTCAAAGATATTTCGGTTACTCCACGTCCAAGTCCCCGTACCCAACGTATGTTGACACATAACAATGAACTCCATTCATATCTATACCTAATTCCGTCTAAATTTCCAACCCTTGTTCCGTCTAATTCAGTCGGGTTCATGTGTTTCACATGGCTTAATGCGTCGGTCATATGGTATGCATAACGTTGGTTATCATGCTGATTAGGAATATGTCAACACAATGTCTCCATCTTTTCTTGTGTAGAAGTTTAAAACTCTACTTGGAATTGTCTTTTGAAGAAAGCATTTTCTCTTACTACCATTATACGCCACACTCCACCTAAACATCTTATTCGTCATCTACAAGAAATCATCTTCAGAATCTCGCCTGTGTCTTTAGTACGAAAAATAAATGTTCACAAACTTTTATTTGTGTATTTTCTTGTGCACATCTAGAGTTTTGTCAAGTTAGGGGTTTAGGATTTTTTGAATTTCGGGTATTAGGTTTCCTAGTGGGCTGGAAAATATCAGAGAACTAAAGAGCAAGAGAGGGTAATTCTACAGTTGGAAAAAAATAGAGAGTATAACAATTTGGAAGTACGTATATGTCTAGATCCAACGGTTGACAACGGAGCAAAATACCAATGCACTACACATCCCGCAAGAGAGAGAGTTTCTAAATTGAACGGTAACCCTTTTCCGAGTCTGAGTTTTTCTCATTCTCCGATCAATCAAATCTTCAAGAACAAACTCTAAAGCATGTTTCAAAAGACGCTAAACGTTAGTTGGGTGGTGGGTAGGGTCTAATGACTAGCGCCCAGTTCCACGATCGGCGCGTGGTCCGCTCATGGGCGCTGCCATGGCCGGCACATGGGCACACGTGCCTCTGCCGGAGGTACTATGCTCTACCGCCGTTCATGGCGGCGTCGACGACTTTTCTGGCCAACTTTCCAGTTACCCATCTAGGCCTGTGGTGGCACGTGGGGGAACCCGAGGTTCCTCCTTAGGTTTTTCAACATGCCGAATCCAAATCCGCTATCTGTTTTCTTAAATTCCATTGTTCAAGTATAGTTTTATTAAATAGTCTCTATTTGTGTATAGGTGCTTCGGTGGAAAGTGATCCCATCCTCCTTAGTTCGAGCTATTCCCCATTAGCAGAATATTTGTAAGTGGACCCCTTCGTAACTTGCATGTTTTATTAAATTTTAGGATTGCATTCATGAAAAACATGATTTCATGATTTATGGTTTATGCAGTATTTATGATTTGTCGAACTTCCACTTTATGAAAGGTATACGACTATTGCTTTTACACTTTATGATATATTATGGATTCATAAATATGGTTTTTGAGGATGATTTGAGCTAGAAAGTTTTATGGTTTTACTAAAGATTATGAAATGAAATTTCGTGGATTTACGAATATGTTATATATATGATTTATGAGATGAGGTTTTGAACCTTTGAGCTTTGGTGATTTGGCTTGAGATTTCGAGATATATTTTTGGTATTTATCTAGTGGGTTATCATACAACACACACACACACAACACGGATATGTAGACGCCTATGGCCATAGGACACAGTTGATTATATTATGTCATACCCAAAGCTTTACTGGCGAAACCAGTGTCAGATAGCTTCAGTAGCCATGGCTAGTGTCGGTGTGTTATGTTATATGTATATGTTTCTTCTCAGGCGTAACCCAAAGTCGTATAGCTTCATCTTCGGGTGATGGTACCTACCATATTTCTTCACTAGTATAATCCAGTGTCTCACAGCTTCACCTTTGGGTGATGGACATATTATGCCTTCGGGCTACTATGATACCCCTAGTTGAGTATATATGTTGATTTGAGTTATGAGATATTGAGATTTTCTTCGATACCCATTTTAGATACGAGTTTTATCACCTACAAATGTTTTCATGGCATGTTAGAGTTTTAGAGAAACCTATATGTAGTACTATATATGTTTTCAAAATAGGGGATTAGTATGTTAAAAAAGAAAAAGGGTTTTATTATTATTAGTACTTATATAAATTATGGTCCACTCAACCTTTGTTTTTGCGTCCCCTCAGGACATAGTGTTGAGGAATACGACCCGAGCATCGAGGCATTTCCCTACCAGTGATATTACGATCTTCCATTTGCTTATGATTTCTTTATGATATATGTAATTGATGTCCTATCATTCAATCGTACTTCCGTTTAGTGGTATGCTCTGGACATATTTGTACATCCTTTATTTCTGATTAGTTATCGTTGAACGTTGCACTCATGTTAAATTTAGAATCTTATTTATTGTCTCCTAGTATTTGTATACCCCGTATCATGGTTATTGTATTATGACTTTTGGATTCAGGTTCTCTTTTATTCTTGCGTATTGTTATATTTATGGCTTCGTCACCATCAGGCTCGGGTGTCAGCCAGAACGTGCCAATCCTAGTATTTGGGAATATCGGGGTTGGGGCGTGTCAGTAACTATATCTCATATAATTTTTCTCATGAATTTTTTTATAAGAGATTGAATTAAATGTCCTTAATTGGCTAAAAGAGACAAATACGAAGACTAAATTAGTCAAATAAAAAACAAAGGGAATAAATTTTCCATACAACTATTACACAACGACCATTTTGACATTTGAGCCTTAAAAGAAACTTAATGGGAAGTAGGATTGTGATTTTGACATGAGGTATTGAATACTTGGACCGTGGCAAAAACTCATGTGCATGTTATTTTTGTCATTTAATATTATGGTATAATGATATTTTTCTTTAATTACATTTACTGAACCTCGTGGAGACAAGTTAGATATCAACTTATTTCCCAACTGTAAATACATGGTTAAAAAAAAAAAAAAAACTTGTTTCTCTATATATGGTTAAGACAAGGTGTTTCTTTTCTTCACCGCCTCCCTGAGTGTCATGGATTTTCTTTCCACTCCCAATGCAATAAGTTTAGCTGTAGTAGTTTTAGCTATACTGGCGATCAGATCCTATGCCAGGAAAAGATTGCAACGCTCTGAGAAGACAAAGAGATACCCTCCTGTTGTCACAACCTTCTTACACACCCTCGTCAACTTCCACAGGCTGCACGATTTTATCACTGAGTTTGCATACAAACACAAAACTTTCAGGGCGCTTAACTTGTTCGTAAATTACGTTGTCACCACCGATCCTGCAAATATTGAATACATTCTCAAGACAAACTTCGCAAATTATGGCAGGGTATGTATGTTTTTATCAAATGGTCGTACTTACTTTGTCTCACACGTTAATTTATGCGACTAATTAACTAGCTTGACCTGCTGCAGGGGTTGTACAATTACGACATTTTGACAGATGCTTTGGGTAATGGGATCTTCGCTGTGGATGGTGAAAAGTGGATACATCAAAGGAAGTTATCTAGCTATGAAATATCAACCAAAGTAGCTAAAGACTTCAGCAATGGAGTTTTCAAAACCAAAGCAGTAAAGCTTGCTGGGATAATTTCTAAAGCGGCAACCTGCGACCAAGTAATAGAGATCCAAGTAAGTTTTCAATAATGCTTCGATATTCACATAGATAGAATTGTCATTTTATTTCTTCTGAGATATTTTAATGTTGGTTCCTTTTTAATATATATTATTTTATTTTATTTTATTTTCTTGTACCGGGAAGGATTTGATTATGAAAGCGGGGTTAGATTCAGTCGTCAAGATTCTGCTTGGAATGGAAGTAGATACCATGTATGGGACAAATGAAGAAGGCACCCGGTTTGCCCATGCTTTCGATGAAGCAAACAAACTTACCCTGTATCGTTTTGTTGATTTCTCCTGGAAAATCAAACGGTTCTTCAACATTGGGTCAGAAGCAAAGCTGCGGAATGATATTAAACTGATGGATCAATTTATTTATAAATTAATCAACAGAAAGATTGAAACATCCCATAATTCATCAGACGATGAGCTACCTGCAGTGAGTTAATTACCTTCCATTCCATTAAGTAATGATTAGTTTAGTATCTTAATATATATGATTAATGCGGATGAGTGACAGTTGAAGAAGGGAGACATGATTTCAAGGCTTTTGGAAGTGAAAGGGAATGATCCAAAGTACTTGAGAGACTTGATTTTGAGTCTCATTGTTGCCGGCAAAGACTCAACGGCAAGCACGATTACGTGGGTTATTTATATGCTCTGCAAGCACCCTCATATGCAAGAAAAGGTTGCGAAGGAAGTTCGAGAAGCGGCAAATCTGAAGGATGATTCAAGCATTGTTGAACTTGCAGACAGTCTTAATGAAGAAGCTCTTAACAAAATGCAGTATCTCTATGCAGCTTTGACCGAGACACTCAGGCTCTACCCTGCAATTCCACTGGTAATTTGACTAACTTCTTAATTAAACCAAATGCATACATATTGCAAGGGAAATGGTTTCCGAAGGCTCTGTTTATTTCTTTCCCTTACTTCACTTTTGATTTATTCAATTCAAGGCCAGAAATAAACAGATGTGCATACTTTCTAAATTTTTTGAATTATTTTGAATCGTTGTTGACTATTTATTTTACAATTTGTGTGATGACATATGAACTGTCGACAAAGAATGCGAAGATCTGTTCATCTGATGATACCTGGCCAGATGGATTTAGTGTCAAAAAAGGTGATATGGTGGCATACAATGCTTATAGCATGGGCAGGATGACGTATCTATGGGGTGATGACGCACAAGAATTTCGGCCAGATAGATGGCTCGACGAAAATGGCGTTTTCCAGGAAGAAAGCCCTTTCAAATTTATAGTCTTCAGTGTAAGAGAATAGCATCGATACATGCCACATTTTATTTATTTATTTATTGAAAAAAGAAAAAGAATTGAAGAAATTTTGTGATTTACATAAACAGGCGGGTCCAAGGATTTGTTTAGGGAAGGACTTTGCTCGTCGACAGATGCTAATGTTTTCTGCTGTGCTATTCGGGAGCTTCATATTCAAGTTGAAAGAAGAGAACAAAGTGGCCCGTTACACGACCAAGATCACCCTCCATATTGATGGGGGCCTTCATGTCCATGCCTCTGTCAGATAAGGATGCTCCCATAGATAGCGTTTCAGCGCTACTGTATATGCTATATCGCTGGATGCATCAATCGCTTTTTTATTTCAATTGTTGCTCTAAGAGCATATCTACTGGCGAAATAAAGAATAAACAAGGTTATGAACCAACTATATTACATTTTTCCTTCGCCAAAATTATCCAATGATGAAATCTAAATTATTCCTTCGCCAAAATAAAGAATAAATCAATGAGGGTGTCTAATACCCAGCCCGATTTTATCCAACCCGGTTTCCGACTTCCAGTGGCGGGATGGCGGTGGCGCCCGCAAGCAACAACGCGGGAGAAAATATAGTTATACTTTTCAGTCTTTTCCTATCCACTGTAGGATATTTCAAATTCTCTTGAATCCCTAACCACGTGACTATTTTGCGCAAACCAAACGGCTATTTATGTGAAACGCGCCCAGCCGTCGGATGAGATTAGATCCAACGGCAGAGACATGGGAAGAAAAAGTATATAATCACCTAGCCTGGTAAGGAAAGATCTCATACGATTTCGCACCAAAATAGTCTCTGAAAACAACAGAGAAGGTCCTTGTCCTCATCAAAACCTAATTCCTTCCACGTTAATTCACATAATTAACACAGAGAAACCCTAACGAGGTCTTAACAATGGAGGAGGAGGGTTATGGTGGTAATGTGCCGCTGGGTTCTTACAAAAATCCGCTGCTGGGTTCTAATGGTATGCCGCTGGGTTTTCGGTTTCATCCGACCGATCAGGAATTGATCAGTTTCTTCCTCTACAACAGATTCCTCCACAGAGAGTCCTTAATGGCGGACTGCAACAACTTTAATCTTATCCACGAGTTCGACCTCTTCGCCAAGACTCCACCGTGGGTGGTTTGGGAGAATTTCGGCGGACCGGGACTTGAAGATCAAGATTTGTACTTCTTCTGCCAACTCAAGACTCGAAGCCAGGCGCGCATCAAACGTGAAATTGACGCCGGTGGTACGTGGAGCGAATCCAATTCAAAGCCGGTTAAGGATTTGCAGAATTTAAAAGCTCTGGGGAAAAAGAGGAATTTGCGGTATGAGAAGGAAGGGTGTGAGCATGACGGTGACTGGCTCTTGGAAGAGTACAGCATTCTTCCTAGTGTAGTTGCTGGCGCTGATGACTCCGATCACGAAATTGGAAAGGTGGTTCTCTGCCGACTTAAAAAGAATTCTAGAAGCGGAAACAAGAAGAATTGTTCGAACTCAACCCAACAAGTGAACGAGCAGCCGGCAAAAAAGAGAGCAAGAAAAGAAGTCAAGGAGAAGCCGGCAAAAAAGAAGGCAAGAAATGAAGTCAAGCAGAGACCGGCGAAAAAGAAGGCAAGAAACGAAGTGGGATCACAAAATACTACTAGTGTGATCACCCATACTGTTGAGGAACTACAAAACTGCCCTAGTACTAGCAGTGCTCCTGTCGTGCCCTTCGATGAAACCAATTACAAGATGATTAGTGACGCTATTAATCATGATCAGCAGTGCATAAGCAACATTGACGGTAGTACAATGCCCACAAATTTTTCTGATCATGATTATGTGCCGGTAAGCTTTGCCAGCGAATGTGGTGAGTTTCTTTTGAAGGATGAAGACTTTCTTTTGAAGAACGGTGAAGATATGTTTTTTGACCTCGAGGATTTGTTGCCACCATTGGACTGTGGATCTGCATGGTCACTAGAGAAGCTGCCTCAAATTGACGGAACTCAAGAGCCTTTGCCGTTGGATGGGATGAGTTGTTGGAACGACTGTTTGTGGATGGGCAATTGTGTTCAATGATCAGTAGATCGGAGACGTATAGGTGACTACGGCTGTCTGATTTCGACGGCGAGAGATTGTAATTTCTGTTTTAGTTTATATATAAGATTTTTCTTTGATCTCTTGTTGTTATTGAGTTACTTCCTGATCAACGTGTAATTGTTTACTCAGAATGTATGGACTCACAAGTTGGTTTTTAACATGAATTGAAACTATGGAAAAGCACAGAAACACATTGGCATAACAATGAAAGAATCCGTGGCGCTAAATATTCCGTCGGAGCCAATGAAAGATCGATCACATATTTGTTCGGAAAATTTAATCACACAAATCTAGAACCAGTTCAGATCCAAAGGACAAATACGAGATTGTATAATTATCAAGAGCCAAAAAAAAGAGCAAAATGAAATCATTGTATTCCTTACAGCATTCAAAAACGTCCCAGTAATACGACCACCAAGTCGCTTGAGACAATCCATGTTGTTGCACCATGGTACCTCTGTTCCTGCAGCATTCAAAGATATCCGGACACATCAGTCGTTGCACCATGTAGTTGCTAATGTCCTTTGAGGGTTGCTTGGAATTGAAGTTTCAAATCTACCTTCCATGGGCTTTATTAAGTCAACTCATCCTAATCTGAACACCGTCTTATTGTTAATCTAACAATGCAGAACAGTCCCATCATCATCGTGATCTGCATTGTTGTCGAATCCATCTGACCCAAAGCAATCCCAATTTAAGACGCGTAAACACCACATCTTACGCCTGTATTTCCAATCACTGCTAGTTAGCAGTCACAACCTACTCTACTATCTACAGATATCTGCCCAGCATTGTGATAATCATTGATTCGTCCATAATCCCCTATAAATGAAAAGTAACCAAAACAAGATTAAGAAAATCATTACTAGTCTTCTTACAGACCTCCATACTTCAAAACATGTCCGAGTCATCAATGTAAAACCTAGAGAATTAAGAACAAAGGAGATAAAAAAGATGCAATGCAACACTCTGAAAGCATATAGATGGCAGAACAACTGATCTCACGAAAGCGAACAGTATCTCAAAGCACATTACAATAAAATTTCACCAGTATAGAACTACACCCATCTGTGGTTTCTTATGCATCAACATGTAAGGTACTATTTTAACCATCTCCATTTCCAATTTAAAGCCTAGATCAAGAGGAACAGTGACATAAGTAACAAATAACTTAGGACTGGTCATTCTACCGTTCTGCTAACTCATTTCAGATGAGAAAGCGTTGAAGGATAAAGAACAAGTTCAACATGAAGCAATTGAATTTTTTTCATAGACTAAACTATGTTTAGAGGATCCTTATTCCAAAAAAGCATTACAAACCAATATATTTATCGCTAGATACAACAGGTTAGGAGAACTAAATCCTGTATATGACCAACTGGTTTGGACACCAGTAGCCTCGTGCCGGCCCAAACTGTCTCGGCTTCCCTAGTTGCAAAACTTAAAAATTCTGATGCATTTGGTAAGTTAAACTTTAAATTCCAAAATCACATAATCTAGTCATGTATAACTAAAATGAGTTGCATCAACCCCAGCCTCCACAAACCCAGTCCCCTACTTGCGGGAGAGGACTCTTTATTATGCATCAGCCATAGGCCCATAGGCTATAGTATAACAGTAATTTCTGGCCGGTGAGGGAGTGATCAGAACAAACCATATGGGAGGAAAAACAACAAAACACATACAACTAGATTTGCAAACCTACAAACTCACACATACTAAAATTTGAATTGATTAAGAACAAACTAGAAAACCAAAAAACTACACATTTTTCTTTTGATATGTTACTATTCCACTCATGAGGTGAGAAAACATTGACGCGCAATGAACAAGTAAGCGTTATCCAGTAATTGCATTCGCTGATCAATCAACGATAAAAGATCATTTTTCCTACGAAAGCATTCTGAAACACCATACATTCATCATAGCATGTATTCTGTCCTATTATACCATCGGTTGAGACTTTGGAGTATCGAGCCATTACGTCTTCTCCCTAGTTGCCATGCCAAACATGAATCCAGTAAATGATATCCTAACCAATCGCAAGTAGTGCACTTGCAAATGACAGAGCAATTCAAATGCAATGTACAAGGAAAACTATTCACACTAACTTGAACCACAAGCAATTTATCAAACAGTTGGCAGGCGACTCACATCGGTGATCCAAATTACTCAGACTATTACCTCGCCGGATTTTATCCGACCCGGTTCCGGACTTCCACTCTCCTCCTCCTCACACTTGGCGGGAATGATGGCTCGGCGTTGGTGAACGCTCGAGAAAACGACGTAAATGAAATTTGGTAAAAATGGAAAATTACAATTCGGTTTTGGTAAAAATACCAAAATTTGGGCAAATAAATAAAATACGAAAAATTTGAGATACCGTTGATACCCTCCATATGGATAATTAAAAGACATCATCCACCGTTGGATAGGACTAGATCCAACGGTTGAAAATGGGGCAAAACTCCATATTTAGCAATAGTTACTGTAGCAGTGCACTACACATTGCGAGAGAGAGAGAGAGAGAGAGAGAGAGAGAGAGTTTCTAAATTCATCGGAAAACCCATTTCCGAGTCGGAATTGTTCTCTTTCGCCGATCATTCAAATCTTCAAGAATGAAAATCTAGAGCCCTGATTAACTTAACAATGGCGAATTTCTACGGCAATGGGCTGGTGCGTTCTTACGGCGACGTGCCGCTGGGTTTTCGATTCCGTCCAACCGATCAAGAACTGGTCGGTTTCTATCTTTCCAACAGAGTCATCGCCGGAGAGCAGTTTATGGCGTACTGCCGGAGCTTCTTGCACGAGTTCGACCCCTTCGGAGAGACGGAACCCTGGGTTATCTGGGAGAATTTCGGCGGACGTTCCCTTGTGGATCAAGACTTGTACTTGTTCTACGAACTGCATTATCTGCCGTCGAACTACATCAAACGCACCATTGACGCCGGAGGCACCTGGAGCCAAAGCTCATACAAGACGGTTAAGGATTTTGACGGAAAACAAATTGGAGATAAGAGGTGCTTCAAGTATAAGAACGAGGGGTGTGAACAGGACTGTGGCTGGCTCCTAGAAGAATACATTCTTAATCAAACCCAAGAAATCGTTGATGGCAATGGCTCCGATCATAAATCCCGAAAGGTTGTTCTTTGCCGGCTTAAAAAGAATCCGAGGTGCGCGAACAAGACAGATCATCCAACCCAAGAATTGAAGGAGAAACCGGAGAACAAGAGAGCTAGGATAAGTAGTTCTCTTGTGCACTTTGATGAAAGCAATAAGAAGATCAGTGGAACTAATCAAGATCAGGAGTGCAAGAGCGGCATTGACCTTAATGCAATGCCGCCAGATTTTTCTGATCATGATTGTCTCACGACGACCAGTGGCGTTTGTTCTTGTCCGATATGCTTGGATGGCGGAGGTGGTGAACCGCTTTTGGAGGATGAAGACGATGAAGATTCGCTTAAAGACGTCGACTTATCGTTAGGACCAAAGGTGCTGCCTCAGTTTGACGAAACTTAAGTTGTGCCTCGGCCAGCTTCAACCGGCTTTGAGGATTGACTGTTTGCAGATGAAAGCTATTTTGTCAATGACCGGTGGAAGAGATGTGGAGGTGACGACGGCTTTCTAATCTCCACCGTGTGCAGAAGCAGAGTTTTGATCACGAGAGACTGTAATTTCGCTACTTAGTATATAATAAGATGTTCCTCTGATTTGATTTCTTATTGTTTTTGGTTAGTATATGAGGAAATTCATCAGAATGATCAATGTATTGCCAGTTTGTTTTCTACGGAAATTCGAATTGTGAATGCAACTTTTGAATTCGATAAAATCAACTCTAGTTTTATGAACAAGTTAACTATATTTGTGTAATCGAATTTGCAAAATCGATTACAAATGATTTTGCAGAAGATACAATGATTTCGTATAAGGATTATATTAAAACGACGCCCTAGGGCGGCATGCTGTAGGTTTACAAACCTTGTTCCGCAAGTAAAACGGGCAGGACAGTGCCCACAAGGAAGAAAGAAGCAATCCCTTGGACCATATCAAAGCAAATAACACGAAGACACCGAGTATTGTCGCTACCCCTTCATTTGTTGACTTGCCTTGAACTGCAAGGTACCCTTCCAAATCTCTTCTTTGTTTGAAATAGATTCATAAGATGAAGTACCCCAGGTCCAAACTAAAACCATCATCATCCTCTTATGGTGAAAGCAATCGGGTGCCCTCAGATTCTGCCTCCCCTGCTTGAAAGTCTTTTCTGTCATCTGCGGAACTTTCAATCGCATTACAAAATCTAAAGGCCGAATTAAGAGGAGCACGGTCATCATGCCTACATGTAGACGTCGAGGTAGATGTACATAGACAATCTGCAAACTAGCTACAGGGACTGAATTCAATGCAATCGAAAGTAACATTGACGAAAGAGGAACTCTGTGAAAACTACCAGGATTTAAAACGTGTTTCGGGCTAAATTTTTCAGATGGCTAGGTGGAGTTTGTGTGTTCCCTCAATGGTGTATGAAATCCGATTGGGTCGGATCTTAATTTTTCAGTGTTCCAGTAACCAAAATACATATTTTCTCAGTCAAGAATTACAATCTCCTCAACTGCACGTTCCGATGTTCTAGTCAAATGTTATTACCAAATGGTATTATTGACATAGGAAACCGACTACCAAAAATCAAGCGACCTACCAGTATGCATCTACCCTTCAAAGTGCAAACTTCAAACCTCTCATCACACACATTAACATACAAAACTACCAAAACCCATCTCAAATATCAACCACCTCTCTCTCTCTCTCCCATGGCTGCCTCATGGGAGGAAAGCGTCGAATACTCCATCAACACGATCTACCTCCTCTTCTCCGCCTACCTCGTCTTCGTCATGCAGCTCGGCTTCGCCATGCTCTGCGCCGGCTCCGTTCGAGCCAAGAACGCCATGAACATAATGCTCACCAACGTCGTCGACGCCGTGGTAGGTAGCCTCTCCTACTACCTCTTCGGCTTTGCCTTTGCATTCGGAGAAGGCTCAAATGCCAACCCTTTTATTGGTACAAGTTTCTTTGCTCTCAAGGACATTCCCAACTCCACCTACGACTATGACTACAGCTTCTTCCTTTTCCAATGGGCTTTTGCCATAGCCGTTGCGGGTATAACTAGTGGGTCAATTGCTGAGCGTACCCAATTTAGTGCTTACCTCGTTTTCTCTTGCTTTCTATCTGGGTTTGTGTACCCTGTGGTGGCTCATTGGGTGTGGTCTTCCACTGGGTGGCTTAGTCCAAACTCGAGTAACTTGTTGTTGGGCTCTGGGGCAATTGATTTTGCCGGGAGTGGCGTGGTCCATTTGGTTGGCGGGGTTGCCGGGCTTTGGGGCTCTTTCATCGAAGGCCCCAGAGTGGGCCGGTTTGACTCGTTTGGGAAGGCCACGCCCATTAGAGGCCATAACGCGACGCTCGTGGTGCTTGGGACGTTCTTGTTGTGGTTCGGTTGGTTTGGGTTCAATCCCGGCTCGTTTGATAAGATTCTTGTGGCGTATCCGGACACAAGTGATCAAGGGAATTGGACTGGCGTAGGCCGAACAGCGGTTGCAACTACGTTAGCTGGATCGACTGCTGGAATCGTTACCCTATTCGGCCGGCGCTTGCTAGTGGGTCATTGGGATGCACTAGATGTTTGCAACGGAGTGCTTGGTGGGTTTGTAGCGATAACGTCGGGATGTGCCGTGGTTGAACCGTGGGCTGCCGTTGTCTGTGGTTTCTTCGCAGCTTGCGTTCTAATCGGGTTCAACATCTTGGCCGCAAAACTACAATTTGATGACCCGTTGGAGGCGACCCAATTGCACGGTGGGTGTGGTGCGTGGGGTTTGATATTTACAGGGCTGTTCGCGAAAGAGGAGTTTGTTGTCCAAGCTTATAATGCAGGCGCCGTCGGTACAGTACGGCCTTACGGTCTCTTTATGGGCGGCGGATGGAGGCTGCTCGGAGCCCAAGTGGCTGAGCTTTTGGCCATTGTGGACTGGGTTAGCTTGACAATGGGTCCTCTCTTCTACACCCTTCACAAGCTCAAGATTTTGAGGATCTCTGTGGCTGACGAAATTGCAGGTCTTGATGTTTCCACTCATGGAGGCCATGCCTATGTTCATACAGAAGAACACCAACCTCGCTTTTACGCAGATTACGTACGCATTCAAGGCAATAGATCGTGACTCGAGATCCAGCAACATACTGCTCTGGTTCTTCTTGATCTCATAGCATTATGCAGAGTGATTCAAATTGATGTACCTACTGCAAGTATTGTATTCAAGTTATGAATGAAATTCAAAACGAAAAAAAGGCAGAACGGAAGTCTGACACGAACAAAATACATCTTACTCTTTTGAAGTGAATCAAAACAATGGCCAAAGTGCATTTACATGTTAACAGGTTTTAAATTACAGTAGGGTAAGGCTTGTTATATACACAGTTCCTGAATGCAAGATGTAGACGAACCTCACCGGACATGAGAATCATAGGGTAGAAAAACAGGATCTGGCATAACAAGAGGCAGTTTTTCTACGTACATAAATAGTCTCTTGCGGTCCTCTCTTAAGATTGATGATAAATCGAGAGCATCGCATTTCTCAGTGTAGATCCAAAGATCACCTGAGTTGATTCTTTTGAGACTATCGCGACAAAAGGGGCATGACTGAGACCTACCACGCCTGAAACAAACAGCAGAAAGCATCAGGTTCTGCTCGATATTATGAAATGGAAATAAAAAGCATTTAAACAAGGAAAAGGAAAATCCAAATTCCAGGTTTACGCATCAGTATCATTCGATTAAACAAGGCCAATTCTGAAAGAAGTCGTTGGCCATTTTAAACTTTCATCTGAGCCGAACGGGGTAACTCAAAGACTTAATGATGGAAACGTTATAAAGACACATGGTCCAATGTGTACGAGAGTATCCCAAAAAATGAAATGATGACCTAATGAACGTTGTTAACACTTATTCGAGGTAGAATTTCAGTTCCATTAATCTGTGGCATGCAAGATGGAAATCATCAACAAGAAATCACTCTTGCTAACAGAAATCACAGTTCATGGATACAACGAGAATATGCTGTATACAAATAAGTTGAAATTATAAAAGAAAACACAAGAAAAAAAGGCCAAAAAGCTTACCAGTCTCGATAACACTTCAAACACAATGTGTGACTGCAGTTAGGCAACACGACTTTTCTGTTCACCTCCATGCAAATTCCACACTCTTCTTCTCTTTCAATCTCAATTTCAGAGAGTTTTCCCCTCTCGGATTCATCCCTTCTTTTGTATCTGGCTGTGCAAATCTCTTTCTGTTTCCTCTCCTCCACATCTGTGATTCCCCTTTGAAGTTGCAACAAAGAAGGAAATATGACAGCTGCCCATGAAAATAAAAGTGTTCACAAAACATAATCCATGAATATCGAGGAAGAAATAGTTATATCCATTGCCACTCCCACCACCCCCCCCCCCCCTAAAAAAAAAAAAGCCCTTCCACCGCCCCCCTCGCATCCTCCCAATATGTACTTGCAGCACAAAGCATTTGCCTACAAATATTACCACTACAATAAGCATTTACGTACATCTTTACTGAATCTCACTTACCATAAAACTCTCTCATGCTGGCTTTCCTTTCGTAAACAGACATGGTGGTCTTTCCATCAGGATAAGTCTGCACAAATCAATTGCATTCCCACAACCAAACAAGAAGTCAAATAAAATTACTACATTTTCTGAAGATAGTATGACATGAATGAATTAAAAATTGAGAAAATCGACGATGAAATTACAAAGCATGCCAGACAATAAAGACCAACAGACACAACAAAAACCAAAAACTTGACACCAACACCCTGAAGGCCACTATCCCAATAGGCCAGCAGGCCCGGCAATCATACTACCACAGTCGAGAATGCGTGTTCACTCCATAGGCTATCAGTTCTCGGTGAACTAGCAGGAAATTTAAACCAACTATTATACTACTGTTGTACTTCAACATGTTCTGTATGCAGCAAACGTTCCGAGGAATCCATTTCAAATTCCTTTTTACTCTCTATCATCTTTCTCTCAGCTCTCTCTCATCACGAAAACTGAATCACGCATTGACATATAACGAAACTCGATTGAGAAAAAAGAATGTACCATATAAATAAGAATTCGAAGCAAGCCGAGTGCTCCGGCGAGGTGACAGTCAGTCCACTGGACTAGAAAGAGGAAAAAGTTGGCCGCCGGACAGTAAGACAGTCTCATCTGAAGACGTGCTCCGTCTTTCTCCCTCGGATAATCCAGTGCCCTGAACAAAAACAGTGGCCAAACAAAGCATTTGATCAACAAGCATTCCACAATTATTACATCTCCAAAGTCCAATTAATGCACGAAATCAATAAAACCCACATCATTAATACATAATTACACAGTAAAAATCAATTTTTGATCCTAAGAAATTTTTTTTTTTTAATCTATGAAAAAAAATAAGTCTTTAAATCGACCCTACGAGTATAAAACATAAAAATTGGAAGAAAAAAAAAACCATGAAAAAAAAAAAAAAAAAAAAACTCCTAAATTTAGTGCAGCAGAGGAGCGGAAAATTAAGCGAAAATTCATATATTTAGTGGATAATTGAATTGAAGGAGAAGGCGGAGACTTACAGAGTATTGGCGTGCTGAATATCTGCTTGAAGCGCTTTAAGAGAGTCCCTGAACGGTTTTCCCATGACTTGGAAATTTTCCCGGAAAATTATTTTCCCACCAACCAAACAGAAAATAAGAAATAACAGTTCAAAAACCCCTAAAGTCTCAACCTTTATATTTATCCCCTTATCCCCTCAGCTTCTCGAAACAACGAAACTAGAGAGACAAAAGCTCAAACCTTAACTGCACTGTCCGCTTCAAACTCCATAAACAAGCCAGAGGGTCCCGCTTTTTAAATTCCTTATCCAACTGACCAAATTTTAGATTTACGAATGATCCGCTGCGGTGAAGACTTTAACGTTCCCTGTTAAGTAGCTATTAACTGCGAGCCACGTGGTTTACTGGAGGGTTTGAATTTTTGGTATCGTGACGTGGAGAGGATTGATTGGCGGCTTTGAAGATACGTGCAGGAAGAAAATAACCAGGCGGCGCAGCGGGTAGGGGAGCACCAGGTTTTGTGAAAAACCATGGAAAGGACGAGTCGTCCAAGGCCACTGGCCAACCATGACGCGTAATTTGATTAAGTTTTTGTTGGATAGATAATTATGATTAACTTGATGTCTATCACGACAGATTTTTCAATGTGATAAAAGTACGAGTATTTACGTCATATATTAATAATAATATACAAGTGAATAAGCACTTGAATAAAATTACCTTCTCTTGCATTGTAACATATGATATATTATTTCGTGTTCCAAGTTAAAAAACATCTTTGATTTTAACATAGTTGAATTTGATTAAGTTTGTTGAATAGATAATTATAATTATAACTTGATGTCTATTACGATAAATTTTTTAGTGTGATAAAAATACAAGTATTTACATCATATATTAATAATAATATACAAGTGAACAAACACTTGAATAAAATTACCTCTCGTTGCATTATAACATATAACATATTATTTCGTGTTCCAAGTTGAAAAACATCTTGTCTTTAACATAGTTGATACGTTTCAAATGAATAAAAGGAAGGCTAATCCTCATATTAAATAATCTAAATTATGATTAATCATGGTTTGTGGATAAGGACACCCTTATCCTTGGTGGCCCACCTGAAATAATTGTGGCTCAACACAATAAAGCAACATGTAAGTTTGAAGGAAAATAATCTCTCTCCATCTTTTCCTCCTAATCCATCAAATTTAAAGATTCAGATTTTGAAATTTGATATAACAATTACAAACAGAAATTCACTTTAAAAATTATAATAATTTTAACCGTTTGATCAAATTTCAACAATTCAGATCCTTAAACTTGATGAATTTGAAAGACAGGATCCTTAGAAGATCCCTTTCCAAATTTGAAAACACATTAAACTATTCATTTCTTTGTTACCGAGAGAAATACTATGTTTTTTTTATATGGATTTTTTGTTAATTGCCATGCTTTGGCACAATTTTTTTTGTTAATATTATATGATATTACGTCGGTAATAACAGTTTATAAAAAATCTCACTTTAATAAAATCTCTTTAACATTTCTCTAATTACCAAACACATTCTCTCTCCTCCCCTTTAGTTCTCTCTTCGAACCCAGAAAACATTTTCCTTGTCGACATAGCATCTGTTACTTCCGACAACTCCCATCAGGATTTGGATCCTCATCGGAACCCCTTCTTAGGGATCTAGGGATCAACGCACACGAACAGTTGATCAAAAATCATGTTGTCGTAATTAAAAGTTTTTTATATTTTTAAAAGTAAAACAATCTCGTTTTACGTGAAAAATATAAAAAAAAAAAATTATGACTTAATCAACGATCTGTATGCGTGTTGATCCCTATGATCCTCAGAAAGAAGATCCGGCGAAGATCCAATTCCCTCCCACCCGATCCCATTCATTTCCCCGCCTCCGCATCCCCTTCGTATTCTCTCTCTTCCGATAAATACTGAAAGTGGAGCTCAATAATTCTCATCATCTCCATCTTCATCAGGATCAAGATTCAAAAAACGACATTTGCAGGACAATGTCAAAGTCGTCATCGGAGACCTTTATATTCTTATTATATTTTTGTACTGTATACAATTTTATATGATATTTTTTTACCCAAAAAATAAAATAAAAAATAAAAAATGACGATGTGAATAATCATATCATTTAAGTTAGTCAGAATCTAAATTTAATTAAAAACTATTTAATAAACCAATAATTAAAATTAAAAAAAATTATTAATTAAATAATAATTATGGTATACGATGAGTCTTCCTCATTCATTTCCCTTTCAATTCTGGTTCTTGTTCATATTTTCTTTTTCACATCATTCATATCCACTACAATCCAAATCAATTCTTATATAGCAAGATTCATTGGCATTGAAGAAGAACCCGAGAAACTGAAGGACATTAACCCCGTGATGATTATTAGCAGCCCAATATATGAACGTAATTAGTTTTATTGGAACAACTACAAATTTGATTTTCCCTGTCTGTTCATCATGCTCGCAGTGTGGTGTGTTACATATCTCCACCATTTGATAAGCTCAGTACTTTTGTTGGGTTCATCTTTATAAAATTGATAAGTTTTTCGGGTTTTCTTTTGTATATTGATAGGGCATCAAATGTTTTCATTGCCCTAAACAACTTAGTTCCTCATAGTTCTCCCAAGTTTTAGGAAAAGGGACTTCTTCTAATGAAATTACTGATGAAGTTGATGCAGTTGATGCAGTTGAATTGCCCTTTGCATCCAATATCTCATAGTTCTCCCAAATTGCATTAGTCTAAAAAATATGTAACAAATAAATCAGTGTCTTAATACGATCGTCCTTTGCATCTCACCCACATTCTTCTTTAACATTCAACACAACTAACCAGATATACGATTTAGAGCTGCTATCGACCACATTATTGTTCAATCATGGATACTTCTGCAGCAGGAAGGAGGGGGATTTCCCCTTGTCGGTTCCGTCCATTACCTTTTTTCCTCCTCTTCTTCCCTAATCTGATACAGTTGCCACGTTCGATTACATGTTTTGGCCAACTCTAGTGAAACAAAGTTGTAGACCAGAGTGACTATCATACATGATGAGTTTAATTGCATGAAAGGCATAATAGGCATAATCAAGAGTCACATACCTTGGAGCACAAGTATCCTTGTTCTTGTTCATGATCTGCATTCTTCCACTGAAAGCATGGTGGCTGTGCAAACCAAGTTAAAACGGATCGGTGCAAAGAGTGATGGAATAGAACAATGGGTCACCTCTCAATGTAGACCTACGTAAACATGGGAAGCTGTCATTACTGCTGTTTTTGTCATTAAACTGATGCAGGATTAAGTAGAACCCAAATGACTGCATCGAGTTTATACAATCCGACGTTCAACTTCAAGCCACACAGGAACCTCCACAGTATTATGCATGAGCCTGCTCCTATTCAAACGTGATGACTATGTATCAACGCTCTGGATAACAGATGTGACGCAACATCCTTCAGAATAAGCACTTATCAAAACACCTGCACTATGCAAGTGGCCTCTTATCAGTAATGGAAAAGAGTTGAGCCATTGCATGACGGCATGGACTCGAAATCATTTGGTAACTAATATAACATCTAATCCAATAAAATCTATAGATCGACTAGAAAAAAAAAAAAAAAAAACTGCACTATGCAACTGGTAAGTGAAACCGATAATTTCGAGCAATGTGCTAGCAATAGAACTGAAAAAGCCCTAACTGTTTACCATATAATATAGGGAACTTTAACGAAAAGCTTTCGGTATTGTTCACTTTAACGAAAAATCACATTTGTACACTAAAAAGTCAATTCTGGTACTATACATTTTATTTTTTATTTTATCCTTATCGTTAAAATTCAAAGTTTTCAAGTTTTTTTTTTTCATTAGTTTTCTTGAAAATATATCCTTGCGAACAAAGAGTGTACACAACTGTGCAACAATGTAAAGCAATGGTTACCTTCAGAACCCTACATTAACGCAAAATGTTTTCGGTAAGCCCAAAAACACAAAAACCCAATTTGTCAAAATGTTATTTTCTAAAGAACTTTAATGAAAAGTTTTATGTTTATTTTAACGAAAAATTATATTTTTACACTAAAAAAACAATCATAATACTATTTATTTTACTCTTTATTTTATCCTTATAGTTAAAACTCAAAATTTTCAAACAATTTTAATTAATTTTCTTATTTTCTATAGTCCATTTTGCGTTAATCTAGGGTTCTGAAAGTAACTATTGCTTTACATTAACCACCTCGTGTAAAAATTAAAATCTCACGTTGGTATGGACTATGGACAGCTCCTTTTATGTGGGGCGATCATGGCGGCACACATGCGGCCAAACCAAGCGGCCGAAAGCGAGACACGTCTTCTCCCGCCACACTAGAAAAACGCAAGTTCGTATATACCCCTACATTTGAATCCCAATTCCAGTAACACCCTTCTTCCTGTTTCCCCATATTAACGCGAAAACATTCGAAAATTTGACAGATCGGTGTCGTTTTTCTGAAGGGTATTTAAGTAAACTCATCCCATCCTTCCAGGTTAAAGGTCGGTTTCCTTTTCTTCGCCTGACCCCAATCTGTCCCTCTGTGTTCCAGTGTCTTTCTGTCTTCACTTTCTTCCCAACCAAAATCCGTAGACTTTCCCTTTTTTCTGTTGCTGAAAATGTCCCCGCAAACCAGAAGAATGACGTTCCCGAAGGTCGTCATTGAGAGAGACTCGGACTCCGAGCAGAGCTCATCCGAAGAAGACGAAGAACAACAAGAGGAAGATGAAGTGTTGGAGAGCGAAAACGAAGCCAAAGTCGAGGAGGTTTTGGACGAGAAGAAGAAAGGGAAATCACCCATTACTATTAGCCTCAAGAAAGTCTGCAAAGTAAGCTCCTTTAACATTTTCGGTCCGTTTGATGATCATTTCGTTTTAATTTCGGTTTTCTATAAATTGGGTTTTTGTGTTTTGGGGTTTTGTTGGCGGTTCGTATAGGTGTGCAAGAAGCCGGGGCATGAAGCTGGATTCAAAGGGGCTACTTACATTGATTGCCCAATGAAGCCCTGCTTTCTTTGTAAAATGCCTGGTAACTATTTGATATTTTGTTACTGAATTGGGTTTGCTATTGTTTGCTATAATCCGGTAACTTTATGTAATTTTTGTCTTAATTGTGTGTTTTTCTATGTGGGTTTTGTGTATTAAAGGCCACACTACAGTGGCATGCCCACACCGAGTGGCTACTGAGCATGGGGTTGTCCCAGCACCCCATAAAAATACCCGTAACGCGCTGGAGTATATGTTCGAACGCCAGATTAGACCTCGCGTTGCTCCGGTATGCCTTAACTATTTGCCTTGTGTTAGCTGAAATTTGTTGGTTTTATGTTTGCTGCTTACAGAAAATTTTCGGGCAACTATTATGTACCAGTCTCTTTTTAGCCGTACTGTGACTACATTTGATGCGATTAGCTTTGATGAATGCATGACAAGCCAACTCTTTGTGCCTTTGTATTGGTTTTCACTTGCTAAATCATGTGAATCGAACTTTTTACTCCTTTGGCGAGTATATAATGGCAGTAATGCTGTGGTGGTGTATTTGTTATGTTTCTGCATTTTTTTCGCAGAGTAAGTTTATATCTAGTGTTATGAAATTTTTATATTTTCTGTTGCCTTTTGATAGATCAAGACAGCATATGTGATCCCAGATCAAGTAAGTTGTGCGGTTATTAGATATCACAGTAGACGGGTGACAAGCTTAGAGTTCCATCCAACGAAGAATAACATCCTTTTATCTGGAGATAAGGTAAGTCTCACCTATAGCTTTTGTTTTGACTTGGTCGAGGTTTATGTTGCTCAAGATTTTGATTGTTCAATGATGGTTGACTAACTTAAATTGAATGATGTTTAATGATTGTTTGCGTCTCTTTGGCTGTGGTTCATTGTCAAGAAAGGACAACTTGGAGTTTGGGATTTTGTCAAAGTACATGAAAAGATTGTTTATGGAAATGTACACTCTTGTATACTCAACAACATGAAGTGAGTTCTTTATTTATTTATTTTTACGCACACGCATACATGTAAATCATATGTTTTCATGCGCGCACACACACATACACACTTTATGTTGATTTTATTGTTTCCATAACAGAAAAAGTTTGCACATTAAAACTCTTGCAGGTTTAAACCTGCAAGTGATGATACAGTATATGGTGCATCCTCAGATGGAACCATTAGTTGCACTGATTTGGAGACTGGAATTTCATTATCCTTGATGAACCTCAACCCTGATGGATGGCAGGTAATCGTATTCCTAACTATATTCGCTGTTAATGAATGAATGTCATGTAGGAGTGATGAAACTTTTGTCACTGCCTAACAAATGTTTGAAGAATGCAACCGCCGCTGAAAGTTACAATATTTGATGTTTTCTTTTGTTGTTTTTTTCCCATCACTTCTTTCCTCTAGTTTGCTGTTATATATATATAGATGACACAAACACACGTAACTGTGTTTTTTCTCTCGGTTGTTACATTTTTGAGCCTGTTTCTCAATTTGAAAAGCTTGTCGTGTCACTGTTCGTCTTAATTAGTTGCAATCTTAATGCTGAACATATAAAGTCGTTCATCTTAGTCTCAGTTTAATTTTATAGAAACTGATTTGTATATATGGATTGTTTTTAGGGGCCAAACAGCTGGAGAATGCTTTATGGAATGGATATCAATGCAGAAAAAGGTGTTGTGCTTGTTGCTGACAACTTTGGCTTTCTGTACATGTACGTATATTTTACCTGTTTTTGTTTCTTAAGTTCTTAACTGAGATAAAGAAAGATATAATCAGATAATAAAGAAACGGGAAATTTGCATGCAACTATTGTATTGTGTAGTCAGTTGATACAGTTACATTGTTTAGCACGTGTTTCCATTCTTCCCCCATTCCCTGTCAGATGTCATATTTTCCCCAGCTAGAATATTTGGCAAGACAATTATTGCTTGCTTTGTTTTCTTTTTTGGGGTTGGTTAATATATTGCTTTAATTGTTAATTTGTTTTATGTTATAGGGTTGATTCTCGCTCCAATGACAAAACTGGGAAGCCAATTTTGATCCATAAGAAAGGTAGCAAAGTAGTTGGACTCCACTGCAATCCATTGCGGCCTGACCTTCTACTGAGTTGTGGAAATGATCACTTTGTAAGTTTCTGATTAACAAATTTGAAACATTTATGGATTGCTTGGTCGTCTGGAATTCTCTGCATGCCTGTATTGTCTGTTTCACCTATATGGTAAAATATCTAAGACGTAATTCCTTTTTTAGGCTCGTATATGGGACATTCGTCGAATTGAAGCTGGTTCTTCCATATACGACCTTGCACACAGCCGTGTTGTAAACTCTGCATATTTTTCTCCCATTTCTGGCAGCAAAATTCTTAGCACTTCACAGGATAACCGTATTCGTATATGGGACTCTATATTTGGCAATATGGATACCCCAAGCCGAGAGATTGTACACAGTCATGATTTCAATCGTCATCTGACTCCTTTCAAAGCTGAATGGGATCCAAAGGTAATAGTTTCGACTGAAGTATTTCTATTTTCAATACTAAGTTCTTTCGTTTCATCTTTGAAATCTATCTTGCTTTTTCGTCCAGGACTCGTCAGAGTCCCTTGCAGTTATTGGTCGTTACATAAGTGAAAACTATAATGGAGCTGCCCTCCATCCCATTGATTTCATAGACATCAGCACAGGACAACTAGTTGCTGAGGTCATGGATCCAAACATCACTACAATCAGTCCAGTGAACAAGCTACATCCGCGTGATGATGTTTTGGCATCGGGCAGTTCAAGGTTTGGGCACTGTTACACTCATCTGCTAATTGTACTTGCATTATGTAAATTATCAAACTTGGAATTCCCTACATCATCATAATGATGTGTCTTCTTAACCATGTCACTTGTTCAGGTCACTTTTCATTTGGCGGCCGAAGGAAAAGTGCGAGCCTGTTGAACCGAAGGATGAACGGAAGATTATTGTCTGTTCTGGAGCTGAGAAGAAGAGGAACCGGAAGTTTGGGGATGAAAACGATGATTCTGATGATGACAAGTTCCCCCCGAAGGGCAAGAATTTAAAGTCCAAAAAATCTGCCTCGAAATCGAGTCAATATACTCTCAAGGTCAAACGCTGATTACAATTGTAGAGCTTGGACGACATTCTCTGATATCCAAAATGCAGGGTAGAAGTTTTTTGGTTTTGAGATTTTCCATCTGCCAAGCCTGTACAGGTAAGCCAAGCCCTTCGTCCCTTGTTTATCATTTTGGGTGAAAGCTTTTGACATAGCATTGTTAGTGTTTTAGCATCCCACTACTTTTGTCAGCATCTAGAAGATGAGTTCTTTCGTTTGGGCAGGTCTATGCGATTCCCCTGCTAACAGCGAGGCGGACGCATGTTTGTGTGCTCCGCTTCTCTGTGAGTTCGGGTTCGCATAAGACCTTCCCCATACAAGAATGTTTCTTACAGCTGCTGCTCGCCTCCGGAAACTTTAATTTTTTTGTGTATGATGCTCAACATGACGTTGTGTAATGTTCTTTTTGTCATCTGTATCAAGTAATCTTCGTGAAAGATATTTGACAAGACGATATATATACTAAATTACCCAAATCTAGGAGGAAAGAGATTTGAACTCGAGTACAGATCAACTGGCGTAACCCACCCTTGCAGTGAAATAAGGATAATGATTCACAACTTCACGCATTTTTCGTTCTAAAATCGTCAATTGTTTTTTATGAAATTGTCACAAGAGGGTTGTGAGTTTTTTTACGCCTTTCACATGTTCCACGGATCAATGTGATCAATCTCACATTACCTCAATTTTGGAAACATGTTTGTGTGCTCCGCTTCTCTATGAGTTAGGGTTCGCATAAGACCTTCCCCATACAAGAATGTTTCTTGCAGTTGCTGCTCGCCTCCCGAAACTTTAATTTTTTTTTAGTGTATGATGCTCAACATGACATTGTGTAATGTTCTTTTTGTCTTCGTGAAAGATATTTGACAAGACGATACTCAAATCTAAGAGGAAGGAGATTCAAACTCGAATACAGACCAACTAGTGTAACTCACATTTGCAGTGAAAGAAATATAATGATTCATGAACTTCACGCATTTTTTGTTCTAATATCGTCAATTGCTTTTTATGGAATTGTCACAAGAGGCGTGTGAGTTTTTTTTACACCTTTTACATGTTCTGCGGATCAATGCGATCAATCTCACATATGCTGGTCATGTCATACCCTAATTTTGGAAACATTTTGACGGTATCATGTCGTATTTGAATGGCAAAACTCTCTGAACTGTTAAATTTTGACGACTGAGACGTAATGGCGCAGTAGGAACCCAACACAAAGATGTGGTCACTTCGTATGAACCCAACATTATGATGTGGTATGAATCTGCTCGAAGAGATATTTTTGTGTGTCACTGGTTTATAACTTTATATCACGTACGTGATGAAAAATATAATCACGCGAAATAAGTATGTACACGACAAATTAAATCTCTACCTTGAGATAAGATGGTGTTAAGCTTTGGGCCTTTCTCGTTTGGGTATTAAATATCGCATGAAACATTAAATAGGAAAAATCTTGTGTTTTATAGGACAGTCATATGCAGAGAGATATAATTATATATACAAGTGTATAAAGTGTATACACTCGAAAATAGAGCAGATTGGTTTTTTTTAAGAGTGGTGCTATTTGCACTCATTTTTACCTCTTATAAACTCCTCTCAATTTCTGGTTGTCGGGTCGAATGAATTAAAGAAAGATTAACGGACAAAAATTAACAAAGATGCCTGGAAGGTAAATAGGGGAGTGTGGATAACACTACCTTTCTCAAAAAAAAAAAAAATTATGAGACGGAGGCAAAAATTAACAAAAAAAGTGTAGAAGATAAAATAAAAGTGTACGGATAATATTATGTTCTTCAAATAAAATTAACCGGACACATGTCACGTAAAGAGAGATAATCGCACCCAGTGACAGAGGAGCATCTGAAAGTGTATGAGTTGAGTGTGTGTGTGTGTGTGTGTGTTATGACATGATGGCGATTGTTTCCTGCCAATGTGCGTCGTCTCGAATCATCCACGTTGAAGACCCACAAAAGCAGACACGGTGATCAATTGGTGGCTACAAATCCTATACGATACAGAAACATGATTAAATAAGAGGAAATACTTTTAAAAGGTAGTGTTATCTACACGATTATTTTTATGTTTCACATATTTTTATCAGTTTTAAGCTGTCAGATTATCGGATCGAATGAATTGAAAAAAAATTAATGACCAAAATGAACAAAAGTGTGTGAGAGACAAAAATAGTCTTGTGAATTACACTTTCGTACCTTAAACTGTGCTGCATAGTAATATGACGATGTTTATTTTTTAGGTTGGAATAAAAATATTGATTTAACATTATGGTTTACAATTATGAATAATTCGATGAGAATTCTTAATCTCCACCACTTAAGCAGATGAGACTTGACGAAAATAATAAAGCAATAATGTTATGAGACAGATTGGTACATTTTAAAAGATTAGTGAGGCTTGTAATTAAATTTAAAGTTAATGAGGCAAACAGTAAGAAAATCCTAAGTTCATCGCGACCAGAGATGTTTTCATGAATTTAATACACAAGTTGGTATATTATGGGTCAATGTTTCGTGATACAAGAGCACTATACAATATACTCATTCTCCACTTATACTATGATAACAAATAGTGTCTGAACTTGTGTTTCGATTACACTAAAAACTTGGGACATTACTAACGATTTCCAAGGAAACTATTACGTTTCTTGCAACCAACACACCCACATATTGCTTTTTCAAGAAAGTAATTACACATAATTTGTAGAGGAGAAATGTTAAGGAGACTTGCTGAAAAGTGGGACTCTTCATAGATTTTTTTTCCATCTCATGTTTTTTGCACAATATTTTATAATATTATTACAAAAATTAACATTAAACTGTGATCTGTCATAGAGTTTTCGGAAAGATATTCCCTTAGCATTTCTCTTTGCAGATAGATTACAACTAGACCGTAGTACTAAGTAGACACTCAACTAATTAATTACAAACTAATTAAAATCGATTTTAATTGTATTTCCAGAAAACTTTAATCAGCGCCAACACCTTAAGAACCGGACCAGAAAAGAAATTTCCTTCCCAAAACGAACCCCAAACTTCTAGAACGAAATCTGTTCCAATCGCATCGCGTTTCCTCCTCCAGAAACGAAAACGCCGAGGGCAAAATCGGAAACACGCAGTCTTGAAAATTCGCGGGGCTTTTAGTCCAAAGATAAAATGACCATAATACCCCCACAGCTCAGAGTGCTCGTGCATGCCGATGAGTTCCCAACAGTCCTCATTTCTCTCCAAGTCTGTTAGGATTTCTGGTTAAATCAAAACTCTCGGAAGTAAAAGATCCCTAAAAAAAAATTAACAGAGAGAGAGAGGGTGAGTGATCGGACGGTCGAGATCGGCCGCAGGTGGTGAGGCAGAAACAATGGCGGCGGCGTCGAACGGGAGCGAGTACTTCGAGATAGAGGCGGGGAACGAGTCGTTCGCTCGGCCTTCGAATGCCGAGTCGGTAGCGGAGGACGAGGAGGAGCTGATGTGGGCGGCGATCGGGAGGTTGCCGTCGCAGAGGCGGTCGAACACGGCGCTGGTGAGGAAGAGGGAGTCCGATGAAAGAAGCGGTGGCGAAAAGGTGGAGACGGTCGACGTGAGGAAGCTGGATCGGTTCAATCGGGAGCTCGTCGTCAAAAAAGCGTTGGCCACTAACGATCAAGATAACTATCTCTTGCTCTCCGCTGTTAAAGAGCGTCTCGATAAGTACGAACGGCCATTCTCTCTCTCTCTCTCTCTCTCTCTCTCTCTCTCTCTAACTCCTATTTCTCTCTCTAGTTCGTGGATTTGGTGTATGGTTGAAGATCACAAAAGAAATATGGGTTTAGGTTAATTTTCAGATTTTCATTTTCTTTTTCTTTTTCTTTTTCAAAACAAAAGGGAAAACTTGAGAAAAAAAGGAGTGATTTTTTCTTGCATGCATGTGAGTGGCGGTGGGACCCGCATATATCGGAAGCATCAGAGTATGAACATGCTTAAAATTTTCGTTATGTTTCATTGTCAAAAACACTTTTACGAATAAAAACATGAACAATATAAACAAGTTCAGAGACGTTGAATTTTCATCTGTAATTATATCTTTGAAGAAATTTTCATTAACATTATCAGTTGTTAGGAGCTACGTTAATTATGTAATTTCTGTAAAACTGTTTGCACAATACCATATGTGTGGGTTTTTTTTCTTGGTTTTAATCAAATATATTGCAATTATTTCTGTTTTTAACATGAAGCAAATCCAACTGCGAATACAAATTAAATTACCAAATTTGGGATGCATGGTTAATTTCTTTATACTAATTTGAAGCCGAAGCTTCATCAAATGCTGGTTAATTTCTTTATATGGTTAGTAATTTTGTTTATCTTTAATTTGTTTGTCTGAATTTATTTGTTCTTGTTGTGTTAAATGAAGAGTGGGATTGGAGGTCGCAAAGGTTGAAGTACGGTATGATAATCTGAAAGTGGTGGCAAACGTTCAGACTGGATCAAGAGCCTTGCCTACTCTAATCAACTATACTCGTAATGCTTTAGAGGTATGTAATTAAATAATTATCTGAGAAAGCTCAAATATCATTTTTTCCCTTGCAAAATGACATATCTTAGGAGATGAGGATGAGGTAGTTTCGGATCCGAAACGTATGCGTAGAAATCTAACATTGTATTCACTAAGATATTAAACCATATGCAAAATGATATATCTTATAGTGCTACTATATATTTGAATGCAGGGTATTTTAACTGGTTTGAGGATATTTCGACCTAAGAGACATTCTTTAACCATTTTGAACAACATTAGAGGCGTTGTTAAACCCGGAAGGTAATTATTGTTTTCGTGTTAGAAGTACCTTTTTTAATTGATTTAGAAGTAAAAAAAATATGTTTAGTTTAAATGCAATTTAATTTATTTTTAAATTCACTACTATCATGCGTTGTGTAAACATATATCAACATACAAGTGTAATTTATTTAAGGAAGTTTTAACGAAACACTTCCGGTACTATTCATTTTTAACGAAAAACTACATTTTTACCTTTATCGGGTACTATTCACTACACATTTATTTGTCATTTTTCATTAAAACTAAATTTTTTTTGGACTTTTAATTAGTTTTCTTTTTATTTAATGCATATGTTGTTTTCCTTTTGTAGGATGACATTGCTTTTAGGTCCTCCAGGTTCTGGAAAATCCACTTTGCTTTTGGCTCTTGCAGGAAAACTTGACCCCAACTTAAAGGTCTGTAATTAGTAGTTGTTTATATTTCCTTTTTTAGCAAAATTTTTTTTTATCACAAGCTGTAATTTCTGTGTAAATTTGTAAATCATCTTTCCTTTTCAGTTTACTTCCATGTATGTATATGGTTTTGGTCACTTTCCTTTTTAGAAGTTCTTCGAACGCTCTTCACCAATTCAACTACAATCACTTGTTCAACATTTGAAAAATACTGAAAAGACCGTTACGCTTTCATTCAATATATTTATATGATCCATTCTTCTCTTCACCCTATTAATTGATTAGAGGATATCCCTTATTGAGAATGTTAAGCATACTGCATTGCAATGTAAAACATTTCGGGCCTCATTTGTTATCGATATATTGATTTTCGATTGGATTCTATGTAGTATTGGAACAAACAATTCATATGTTAGGGAAATCAAAATATATGTAACTTGTTTGACTTAAGTCACGCTACACACGCGAAGAAGCGTGTTGATTCTCACATGAGAAATATGTGCCAAAAAATATAATGTCTCGGTTTAACTCACATGCACAGCGTTATACACCCTTTTTAACACTTTGGGATTTTCTTTTCAGAAAAGCGGTACCATTACCTACAATGGCCATAAGCTCAACGAGTTTTGCGTTCAAAGAACTGCAGCTTACATCAGCCAAACAGATAATCATATTGGAGAACTGACCGTAAGAGAAACATTGGATTTTGCAGCTAGATGTCAAGGTGCAAGCGAAGGCTTTGCAGGTGTGTTCCTGTTAATTGCAATTTTGTTACATTCAATGTGTAGATATTCTTAATTTCAGCAATTGCGTTCATGTTCTCAATCGAGTACTGTTAATATTCTTCTGCTGTTTTTGTCAATTGTTTTATGCTGTAGCATACATGAACGATTTGGTACGGTTAGAGAGGGAAAGGAACATAAGGCCGGATCCAGAAATTGATGCATATATGAAGGTTTGTTATTATAATTTGGTTTTGACACCAGAAGAAGAAAAAAAAAAAAAAGAATTGAATTTTGGATTCTGTAATTGTTTTAGTACTAAAGGTTTTGTTTTATTTTTCCGTACGTGTTCTTTGTAATGAATTTGAATCTACAATCCACAGGCATCATCTGTTGGCGGTAAAAAGCACAGTGTTTCAACAGATTATGTGTTGAAAGTGCTCGGTCTTGATGTATGTTCAGAGACAATTGTTGGAAACGAAATGGTAAGAGGCGTATCAGGTGGACAGAGGAAAAGGGTCACCACAGGTATCTCTCGCACTCGCTGTCATGAATTTAATTGTATTCTTTAACCATGTTAATGTTTGTAAACATAATTTTGAAGAGACTGATGTTTAATGCATTTGGAGTACGGCTGAATGGTTATGTTTAACTTTTTGGCTGGAGAAGTTTTATTTTGTTTAAGCTCTTAGAGCATTTCTAACTGATTACATCCAAGATCAATATGATTTGTTGTTTTTATTTTTAAGAACGTAAAACATCTTTTATTTACAAATGTAGGAATTCTTAACTGATTTCGGTTGCCTTTGTGACTTTCCCTTCATCCAATTGTAAAAATTAAGCTAATGTTTTGCAGGAGAAATGGCTGTTGGCCCAAGAAAAGCCCTATTTATGGATGAAATTTCTACCGGACTTGATAGTTCTACTACATTCCAAATTGTAAAATGCACTCGGAACTTTGTTCATCTAATGGATGCGACAATACTAATGGCTCTTCTTCAGCCTGCGCCCGAGACATTTGATCTCTTTGATGATCTGGTGCTGTTATCAGAAGGGCATGTGGTTTATCATGGTCCCAGAGCCCAAGTATTGGAATTCTTCGAGTCATTAGGCTTTCGTCTACCCCCACGCAAGGGAGTTGCAGATTTTCTTCAAGAGGTATATATAATTTTAAAAGAACAAGATGATTTCATCTTTTTAGGCTGCATGCATTGGTATAACTTGTTTTATTTCCAGGTGACTTCTAAAAAGGACCAATCTCAGTATTGGGCAGATAAATCGAAACCATACGTGTACCTTTCTGTTCCACAAATTGCTGAAGCCTTCAGAAATTCCAAATTTGGAAGGACTCTGGAGTCTGAGCTTTCGGATCCATATGATAAGTCTAATACTCATCCTGCAGCGTTGGCAAAATCAAAATATGCAGTCTCAAGATGGGAGCTTTGTAAAGCATGCTTTTCACGAGAAACCCTGTTGATCAGCAGGCATAAGTTTCTTTATATATTTAGGACGTGCCAGGTACACTTTACTCTGTCGCTTCTCGTACCCATCTTTCGAATCTTGATTTTAAAACTGTGTATCATTGCCTGTCTACAATTAGTCTCTTACTGGGTATCTATATCATTGTCAACAGGGTAGCCATATGTTTGTAGTTAGATAAATTGTTTTTATCAATTGGTAGTCGACTTGATATATAACTTTCTAACAAATGAAGATATAAAGTGCTATTTGAAATTTGAAAATTTCTATTTTTAGCAGATTCTTATCCGAGTTCTCTTTGTCTCTTAAAGGTTGCATTTGTTGGATTTGTTACATGCACAATGTTTCTGCGAACAAGACTGCACCCGACAGATGAGGGACATGGAGAACTTTATCTTTCTTGCTTGTTTTTTGGGCTGGTGCACATGATGTTTAATGGATTTTCTGAGCTGCCTCTTATGATATCTCGGCTCCCAGTCTTTTACAAGCAAAGGGACAATTTCTTTCATCCTGCGTGGGCATGGTCTGTCGTGAGTTGGCTTCTGCGTATTCCTTACTCCATTATTGAAGCTGTTGTATGGTCTTGTGTTGTGTACTACACTGTTGGTTTTGCTCCTGCTGCTGGAAGGTATTCTCTGTTTACTCATACGCTCAAAGTTGCTCAAATTCTTACAGTTTGTCCAATACTCATCACTTTTCATAAATATTTCAGGTTTTTTCGTTTCATGCTTTTACTGTTCTCAGTGCACCAAATGGCTTTGGGTCTCTTTCGGTTCATGGCTTCTATTACGCGAGATATGGTCATTGCCAATACATTTGGATCAGCTGCGCTACTAATTATATTCTTGCTGGGTGGATTCATCATTCCGAAAGGTATTAAAATCTTCTGTTTGATTCAGAGATTAGTTATTGTTAGAATTTAACACACAAGGGTTTTTTTATATTTTGTTTTTTATTTTGATAATTTGGCTGTTTATTTCTTCAGCAAGCATTAAGCCATGGTGGGTTTGGGCCTTTTGGGTATCACCACTATCTTATGGGCAACGAGCTATGTCCGTAAACGAATTTGCTGCTACAAGGTGGATGAAGGTATGCTCTTCAGCTTTATGGTTAACTTCGGATCAGTACATTCTTTTGTTCGGCTTCATATAGATTAATTCTACTGGTTCTGGACACTCTTACTTTGCAGAAATCTTCTGTTAATGATGACACAATCGGGTACAATATTCTTCACTCACACAGCTTACCAACTGGTGATCATTGGTATTGGATTGGAGTTGGTACCTTATTGCTTTATGCCATACTTTTCAATGGCCTTGTGACTATGGCCTTGCTTTACCTAAATCGTAAGTTTAAACAAAGGTTTGTGTGTTTTTATGTGTTCATATTTGTTTTAAATGATCTCTGAAGGTTATCGTTATTGACAGCACTTAGGAAGAACCAGACAGTGGTTCCAGTTGACAAAACAGAAGGGAGCCCTGCTGCAGATGGTCAGTCTCCAAATCTGCTAAGTGATCGTATATAATTTGATATTTAATTGGTGCCAGGTTTGTTGTAATATTTGTGATCAGAAAAAATATCTCTAAAAAAATAAATTTGATTATGCAGTGGCTGAATCAAAGCCAACATCGACTGAAACTAGCAGCCCCAAAAAGGGAATGATCTTACCGTTTCAGCCATTGACAATGACTTTCCATAATGTTAATTACTTTGTTGACATGCCAAAGGTCTGTTGCCTTGGTGCCTTTGATTTTCTTTTGTTCTTTTAGTCTTTATACATATGTGATGTGAACTAGTTAATAGAACGTCACGTTTTTGTAGTGGATTTGGATATTCTAGCTGATGCAAGCTGAGGGATGTTTGAACTTTTAGGAAATGAAGTCGCAAGGAATACCAGAAAATAAGTTGCAACTCTTGGCGAATGTGAGTGGAGTATTTTCACCAGGCGTTCTTACTGCTTTAGTTGGGTCTAGTGGAGCTGGTAAGACCACTTTGATGGATGTCCTTGCTGGTAGGAAAACTGGAGGATACATTGAAGGAGATATCAGAATATCTGGTTACCCAAAAGAGCAACGTACTTTTGCCAGAATATCGGGATATGTTGAGCAAAATGACATACATTCTCCTCAAGTTACAGTTGAGGAATCCCTGCTGTTTTCTTCTTCTCTTCGCCTGCCAAAGGAAGTCAGCAAAGAGAAAAGACTTGTGAGCTATCATACTTCTTCAGATATTTATGTTCTCTTTGTCTTTCCTAATCTTTCCAGTTTGTTTTTGACGTAACTGTACTGCTTTCATTTCAGGAATTTGTTGAAGAAGTAATGAGATTAGTAGAGCTTGATCCTCTAAGGCATGCTTTGGTCGGCATGCCTGGCAGTTCAGGCTTATCAACAGAGCAAAGAAAACGCCTGACAATCGCTGTGGAGCTTGTTGCAAATCCTTCAATTATCTTTATGGATGAACCTACATCAGGACTCGATGCAAGGGCAGCAGCCATTGTGATGCGGACTGTTCGTAATACTGTTGATACAGGAAGAACGGTTGTCTGTACTATACATCAACCAAGTATTGATATATTTGAGGCATTCGATGAGGTTTGTTAGATCATTGACTAACACCTGACAGAAAGCTTTCGTATAAGAAACAAAGGTCATGCACTGTCTTCTTCTAATTGTGAATTTGATTTGATACGCAGCTTCTTCTTATGAAACGAGGGGGGCAAGTTATATATGGGGGAAAGCTTGGTTTGCACTCGCAGACAATGATAAATTATTTTCAGGTAACATTGTAATAACCTGTTTGTATACTTAATCCTTAATCTAATCAGTCCACTCATTATCGTGTCAAGCAAAATAATATACTGGTTCATTTTCTTGTGCAGGGAATCAACGGAATCACTCCAATTCCCAGAGGGTACAATCCAGCAACCTGGATGCTTGAGGTTACTACACCTGCTTGTGAAGAGAGAATTGGTAAAGACTTTGCAAACGTTTACAGAATTTCAGACCAATACAGGTATTCAATTTCATGTTACGTTTGTAATGCGACTGAGACCTGTGCTGATTCTATCTACTTCCGTATTCTTTGTTGTCAATGGGAACTAATCCTTACAATCATTTTGTCACAATATTATTTAACAAATTTCTTTACATCTTGCTTCAGGGAGGTAGAAGAGTCCATCAAACAATTTAGTATTCCTCCAGCTGGTTCAGAACCACTGAAGTTTGCATCGACATATTCTCAAACTACAATGTCGCAGTTTTTGATCTGCTTATGGAAACAAAATCTTGTATATTGGAGAAGTCCACATTATAATGCCATGAGGTTGATTTTTACAACGATCAGTGCACTGGTATTTGGTTCTGCATTTTGGAATGTTGGTACAAAAAGGTACACCTCATCTCTATTGTAGTAAGTTTTGAAATTTGGTTGCATTTCGAGCTCACATTGCTCTAATTGCGCACTATTCACTGGCATGCTGAATTGTCTGGCTATATCTCATAGTTTCAAGTCTCTACGTACATTCTCAAAGCAGACTCGATGGAATAACTAATTACAGATGAATTTAGGGCTATATCTTAGATCTTAAAGAGCAACATCAACTACTCGGGCAGCCAAATGCTTTGGCATTGGTAACCACCCTTGGGAAGTATTTGGTAGCAGAAATCTTGAGTCTTTCTATGAATATACGAGTGTTGGAATTGAGTGAGAACATATTACAGTTTCCGTGATATGATCAAAGACAAAGACTTAAGAATTGCTAGGGTTTTAACTTTGCATCTCACGTATGACATGTGGTATATGCATCCTCACGCTAGAACATGATGGCAAAAGTATTTTACCCCTTATTGCAATTCTTAACGAAGTTATGAGTCATTCCACCAATATGTTCCGTAGGGACTCACCTCAAGCGCTAATGACGGTTATGGGAGCTCTTTATGCTGCTTGCTTGTTTCTTGGGGTCAATAACGCTTCTTCAGTGCAACCAATTGTTTCAATTGAGAGGGCAGTATTCTATCGAGAGAAAGCAGCCGGGATGTATTCTCCATTATCTTATGCAGCTGCACAGGTAAGTTGGCATACTATAACGAAAATGTTTGCAAAATTTTAATCTAGGAAAGAACAGGCGGTAATTATCTTATTTGCCTTCTCGACTGCAGGGCCTTGTCGAGATCCCATACATTGCTGTGCAGACAATAGTATACGGTGTAATCACATACTTCATGGTTCATTTTGAAAGGACGCTTAGTAAGATCCCTAATTTTCCTTCGAAAACACTTTTTATTTGGAATTGGTCTTTTCATTAACTGTGATATTATCATTTGTTTGACTACAGTATTATTTTCTAAATTCACAAGTGCACACTGTAACTGAAAATTCAAATTCTGTTTGGTTATGTGTTGTAGGAAAGTTTTTGCTCTATATTGTGTTCATGTTCCTCACATTCACCTACTTTACCTTCTATGGTATGGCGGCTGTTGGTCTCACACCTTCTCAACATCTTGCGGCTGTTGTCTCCTCCGCTTTCTACTCTTTGTGGAATCTCCTCTCGGGTTTTCTTGTCCCAAAGCCGGTGAGTAATATGCTTAAAATCGTGGCATGTCTAGTTCATTATTCAATGTCTCGACCTTTGTTTCCAAAAACCAATCATTTTCACTCATTAACTAACCTTTGGTTATTGTACAAATTTCATTTCAGCATATCCCGGGATGGTGGATGTGGTTTTACTACATCTGTCCAGTGGCATGGACCCTTCGAGGTATTATCACCTCGCAACTTGGTGATGTGGAGACCACGATGAAAGGACCTACGTTTCAGGGCACCGTGAAAGAGTACTTGGAGGTCAATCTTGGTTATGGCCCTGGGATGATTGGAGTTTCAGTCGCCGTGCTTGTTTGCTTTTGCCTCCTTTTCTTCAGCGTCTTTGCACTCTCAGTGAAGTTACTCAACTTTCAGAAAAGATGAGTCGAGGGTTCAGTTCTTCCAACTTCATGATCTTCTCGCGTTTCAGAATCTTGAAAAACGATCCATCATCCATGTCATGAGTAAGAGACTAAGTTCCACATCAAAGTTGTCGGAGAAATCAAAGCTCAAGTGGCAGAGCCTTCGCTTACAACGCCATCTACTGGTCATCAAAATCATAAATTTTCCCTTCTCACTAAGGAACTCATGAGGATAGTTACAATCTATGGAGAAATTTATATATGAATTAGCAGTCCCAATTTAACAGTTGAACTCTATAAGCAGGGAGAAGTATATAGACTGCTGTCTACCTATACATTCTATTGTCGATTAACTGTTCGATTTGAGAATATTAATAAGAATAGACAATGCAATGTTTTCATGGCGCCTTCGTTTTCCTTTTTCAAATTTTGGAATACTGATATACCATCCTTTAACAAGTGATTGCTTGAGATTATTGTGTCTATTGTTCAGTTGTGACCTTGTTTCGTAGTGATATCATCAGATGGAGGACGTTAAAGGACTGACCTAGGATGTTGTGGGATTTTCTTTACAGAGATTCGGAACAGGAAGGTAGTCAAGCAGAAGTGAGAGGAAAATAGCGTCAAGCTGCGAGCAAGCGAAGACATCATAAGGTAACACAATTTCTTTCTTGTGTCGATAGTCAATACTATGTTTGTAGCGGAAATGAACCCGCTTTTGTTTTACAGATAAGCATTTAGGATTTAGGGTGTCTGCCAGAGGGTTGGAGCTCATTATATACAAATTTATAGAAGCAGATGCTAACCATGTGAAATCCAGCACACGAATAGGACGTGTGTTGAATATGAAACTTAGGAAGCATGTACGTAGAGCTTGTAGTTCAAGCGGTTAACACATATACCCTTGAGACCATAGGTTCAATTTCCGCTCCCTCGCCATCAGTTGGATAATTAAAAAATTTGAAAAAGGCAGTGCAGGCTGCCCCCTCCCTTTGCTGTTAAAGTGAGGCTGGGGACAAGATGAGTAAAAATAGGAGGAGACAAAAACACCCTGTATGATCATAAATTAAGGAACAAGAAATAATGTAGTCAACAAAAACATGTACAGGAGGAGTTTATGGAGCTCCACATTCTCCACAAATTACTGGAACAAATTTAACCAAAAGTGAAAAGTTCATATGCTTTAAGGTATTAACTTTTCATCTCTCATACAATCTATCCAGTACAAGATTGAATCCAGTGTCTTATACCTCACAGCAAAACCTAGTCGATCAACTTTGTTTCGGGTTCCCAGTAGCTTAAACGGACAACGAAACAAGAGGTCCAAGAATTCCCAATTGGCCAAATTTTCCATCTCAGTTTGAATCAGTCCTTTCTCTGCTACAATTTCTTTCCAAACCTCTTTCTTGTCAGACATGGATTTCGAATACCAGAAATCATCCGAAAATGCACTTTCGTGTACTACTACTCCGAATTTCTCTCCAAGAGCCGTCCAGATCTCCTTCCATGTAAAACTTGGCCCATTGATTGCATTGTATGACTGACCATCAGTGGAATGCGAGTATAAATCAACATCGGTTGCTGCCCAAATGTGCTGTTGAGCTACTAGCCTTGCATCCGAGCCATCGATACAAGTCTTTTCCCAACACCTTTTTGTCCCTCCAAACACAAAAGGCAGATTCAAATGCTTACAAATGGTTCCGTAAACACATAAACTCCCCATAAAATTGTACACAGTCCTACGAGAACTACCAATTAACAAACCAGGCCTGTGTACCGACCAAGCTACCTTACCAACCAGCCTCTCCTTTAGCAAGTCTTCTAGGACATAGTAAAAGTTGCACCCTTTATCCACTCTCGGGCAATCTTCATCGTAGTACCGAGCTTCTGCTTCATCATCGAAAGGCCCTTGCAACGACACGTAATGCTTCATCCCTGTCTGGAGAGAAACATGCTTCAATGCCTTGGCTTTCGGAACAATGGCATCCAATGCATTCGACATCATGGCCTTATTCTGCTCACAACACTCAACGCTATCCAACTGGTATTGGCTTGCCCAGGTGAGCCAAAACACATGAGTAACATCTTGCAACAGTGAGAGCCGTTCTTCGGTTTCCGAACGGTTTAGCAGATCACATTGGATGAAATAGAAGTTTGAAGAACGTTGATCAATAGGCGGCATGATCTCCGGATTACGAGCTATGCCGTAAACCTTCCATTTGGGTTTTGTGACCAGCTCTCTGGCCAGCACCTTCCCAACTAGCCCGGTGACCCCGAAAATGGCTGCTACATGTTCAATGCCATTGCCATCCTCTGGGTTTTCAGTTTCTTCAGCTGCCATTAACACAATTAAGAAAGAGCTAGGTAGTTCCTGGATTGATATATGGAAGAATATATGGAGGAATAATATGGCCTGTATATTTACAAATACAAATAGAAAAGTCAAATTCTGATTCTAATCCTATAAAGCCGTGATCCACACAATACGTGGAATACCATTTCCTAGTTTGGACAAATACAATACATGCTCACTTAAAATCAACAGCTAGTTTGGGAAACTTTTATGGTATCGGAAACATAAACAACGTGATACTTTTTCACGTATTATAATAAGGGTGGACGACATTGTTTATAAGTTTCGGTAGAGTATATTAATAACAAATAAATTCATGTGTTATATTAATTTGAGTAAAATAATAATGTTATGTAACGTGTTGAAGATGAATTGAAAAATTGGAAAACTAATGAAAATGGCTTGAAAACTTTGAGTTTTAACTATAATAACAAAATAAAGAGTAAAGTGAATAATATTAGAATTAACTTTTTAGTGTAAAAATATGATTTTTCGTTAAAATGAACAGTGCCCAGAGTTTTTCGTTAAAATCCTCTTAAAAAATTACTAGAAATAGTGTCCCCTTCTTTTGAGGATTGCTGGCACAATTCTTTGCGGCGTCAAAGCCTATTAGATGGCAAGTATGCCGGCAGAATGTGACCCTTGCCGTTGTATTGCGGGCTTTATGGTTACATTATGGTTTAAAATACAATATTGAGTGGTTTTGTGTTATTTAAGTTGGCCATATATTTGGGGCTGATAAATTTAAGGGAAAAGTAATAAAAATGATCTGAAAATTTTGAATTTTAACGATAAGGACAAAATAAAGGGTAAAGTGAATAGTACCAGGGTTGACTTCTTAGTGTAAAAATGTGATTTTTCGTTAAAATAAATAGTACCGGAAGCTTTTTGTTGAAGTTTTCTAAATTTAATGGTAGACATCACTTATCTCATATTCACAATAAGAGTTCGACTTTTATTTGAGAAAAAAGGATTCGAACTTTCAATCTTCCTCTTTACAAAGATGTTTCTATACCATTCTCGAAATATAACAATATTGAGGGATCCACATGACATAGGTCTCTGTGTACACAATTGCCCACAACTTATTGTTACACATGAAATTGTCTAATGTTTTGTCGATATTCTGTTTTAGTATGGCTACTACGTAGGAAAAATGTTTGACAAAACATATCAAAGAGGCTCATAAGTAAGGTAGATATATAGCTAAGAGCAATTAGCCATTGTGAGACCTGAGTTTCATCTTATGCTCGGAAGGAAAAATTTGTAAATTCATCGTTGTATGCAAACAATTTAACAAGGCTAAGACCAAAGTTACGGACAAAACTTTGCAAGTGATAACTAAACTGTATTACGTATACAAAGGGTAACTCAATATAGCATGTAGAGAAATATTAAGGGGACTCTCTGAAAAGTAGAACTCTCTGCCATCTTATAATTTAACGTTAATTTTCGTGCTAACATTATAAAATAATATTGTGCCAAAAAAATGAGATGACAAAGAGTCTATAGAGAATACCACTTTAAGAGAATCTCCTTAGCATTTTTCTAGCATGTGTTATATTTAGTTGGTGCTATGAAGGTAGCTTGGAGACACAAGAATAAAGCATGTAAAATTAGGAACTTTAACGAAAAGTTTCCTGTATTATTCACTTTAACGAAAAACCATATTTTTACACTAAAAAATCAATCTTTATACTATTCACTTTACCCTTTATTTTATCATTATCATTAAAACTCAAAATTTTCTAATCATTTTCAATAATTTTCCTTATAAAATTACCATCACTTTGGAGACCAAAACCCTTCGTTGGGAAGCAATCTCCACAACTTTCTTGAAGTGGTAGCAAGTTAGAACACAAAATTGGTAGGACGTGCATGCACTACTTTGAATAATTATATCATATATTTTGCTATGGTAATGGTGCCATACATTTTGCTATGGTAACCGTGCCATAGATAAAATAAAAACACACAATTAATGACCATTTGTTTTTCATTTTTTCCTTCTCCACAATTTTATTTATTTATGATTTTTATATTGAATAAATCTAGAAAAATTGGAAACAAAAAAATAAAGAGTAAGATTCTCTTCTTTTTGAATTCTCCTTTATTTATATTTGAAAAGTCACGATTAAATTATACCTACATCTTGTATGGACTTTTTTATAGAGAGATAGACAAAGATAAAAGTGAGAGAGAGAGAGAGAGAGAGAGGGAGGAAGAGATTTTTCAGTGTACCGGAAACACAATTTGGTATACCAAATGTAATAATAGAATTGGTTGGAAATATTAAAAAAAAAGTTCAACCAATTATATCATGACACGTGATGTACTAAGCTATGTTCCCGTCATCCTAAAAAAATTCTCAAGGAAAGAAGAGGGGAGAGGATTTGGAGGGGAGTTAACTCTACTCCCAAAAATAAATAGAGATATGCAGAAATGATTCACGTTTGTCAAACTTATGACATTTCATAATGTTTATAAAATGTTGAACTCTAAAATGAAGAATTTTTTTATTTCCATGATATTATTGTAATTAGTAAAAGATGGAAACTGCCCCTTCATGTGCAGAGTCCACACTGAAATTTTTGTCCTCTGCTTAAATCAAATTCATGCAATTTCCCGCTAGTTTAACCAAAATGAAGCAAATTAAAACCTTATTAAATAGACATGAGAGCAAAAGTTATATACAAACATCTTCAGAGGGAAACTTCCCCTTCATGTCCAAGTGCAGAGTCCACACTGTGAAATTTTTTTTCCAATGAACCAATAGGGTGACAAATGAATCTAAATCTCTTGATTTGGGATCCCACGATACTTCAAGCAAACAAGATTCCGGAGGATGGTTCATGCAGTGTTCCCAAATTGTCCACAATTGTCTCATCTGTCACGAAAATTCATAATATACTTATTAGTGCAATGAAATAAAGTTAGTTGATGGTCTTTAGTTAAGATTCAAAGTTTTTTCATGTCTCTTGATTCTCTTTTGATAATTCAATCCAAAGACGAGAAAAGCATGAGGTGTAAACGATAGTGCAAAAATCATATACTTGTTGGATAAAACTATTCGCATGCCAAATTTTACCACTCACACTCTTCCTAATTTTTTGTCATTGATATTCTTCAATTCATTTCATCCGACGGTGTGAGACATAAAAATAAGTCTGTGGATAACACTACCCTACCTTTTTTTTATGTCTAAAGTATATTACAACGATATAGCCACTTACTCGAGGGAATTTTGTCAACGAAAAAGCATGCCGCAATAACAATGTAGCATAGGAAAAGAATGACTCCTTTCATATAATGTGAAGTTCCATCCTGGAAAATAAGAGAATAGTTAAAATTTTTAGCAAAAATTAAAGTAAAAGAACAGGAGAATGTATTTTCGTTACTACTAATTTACAAAATCCCCACAGAAAAGTGAGAAATATATAGAGGTTAGATTTAGGAGGAAACCTGCAATGTGAAGGCTGTGATGATTATGGTGAAAGCAAGAGAACCAGTTTCAAGGAGACTGAAATCAAGGTCCATTTGGACGCCCATTATCCATGCAACAATCACACTTAAAGGGATCTGAAAATGACAGGAAAATTTGGTTTCTTAGAAGTTTGAAGAAATATTCTTTCAATTTTGTATATAGGTTTACTTAAATTAGGAGCAGTTAGGAAGTAATTTTAAAATGAGTAAAAAGTGCTTTTAGAGAAAAATTTTCCGAATTTATTTACATTTTTAATAATTTGATTTCAAAAATATTTTCATCAAAAACTCTTTCAGCCATTTTAAAGGTACTTCCAAACTAGCCCATAGTCACTAGCTAATATTACAAAAGAATGAACAAAATCCACTCGATAGGATCTTAGGGCTTGTTTGTGCCTTTATAAAGACTAAAAGCACTTACAACAACATTGCTTGTGGATCAGTTTTAAGTGTTTTTTTTAGCTTAGATTTGTGATAATCTTACCACAAACATAGAAATTTGGGATGCAGAACCTAAAGCAACTCCCAAAGAAATATCCTGCATAAAAATCAGAAATTGATATTCAGATTAATTTCAGAACAATGTAATATCTAAAAGAAGATTATCGAGTGATCTTTTAATGAACTTTTCGTTTTAATTTTTAGGTGTAACTTACCAACTTATTCTTGAGAGCAAAAATTATGGAACCAGCATGTTCAGCAGCATTCCCAACAATTGGTAGCAAAATAATGCTGATGAAGCACACAGAAATTCCCCAAGAATTTGATGCAGCCTAATTGAATAAAAATGCATATAATTAGGGATATACTAAGGAACTAATGGTTCAAAATTCATGATTATGGAATTTTAACAAAAATTATGAAAATCTGATCAAGTTTAGGGTTCTTAGAATAATGATCATGCATATCTAAATATATATAAATACCTCGATCGTACCCACAACATACTCAGACAAGAGAGCTATGATAATTGTCATACCAACCAGCCAACTGAATGCACTCCAAAACCCTATCACTGCTATTTCTCCGTCTTCATCTTCATCTTCCTGCTTATATATCGCATTGGAACAAGTTATAGAGTTTTTTCATGTTCTAACAAAAGCGCTTTATCAAAAACACTTTGAAAATTTTAATAAAAACACAAGTGTTTTCTGGAAACACTTTTGGTTATTTGAAACCTTTTATAATCATTCTAAAAGCACTTCCAAATAAGCTCGCATGTATGTTAATTATTGATAGTTAGTGCATATTATTAATCACCTCTTGTGACTCAAACAATTGCCGGTGGGTTTTTAACTGGAAGAAGATATAGGCAACATATGCTATGAGCATAAAAATGCTGCTTGTTCTTGACAACTGAAGAGTGTCGATGGCAAAGGGATTGTCCACCCCCGAGGCATATCTGAACATCAGTGGCAGCATGTGGCATAGTAAACCCAGCAATAAAAGTAGTGAATTCACATCAGCCTGCTTCTGTTAAATCCAAAAAAGAAAATGAAATTAACAAAAATTCTCCCATTAATTGGTTTTCTAAATTGTTGAATTGAAAGGGTTAATTTGTTGATAATTAAAGTTTTTATCAATTAATAATATTTCTTACTCTATCATATCTTTGTTCATTTTTCAGGTTGGCCAAGCCTCCACAGAGAAGAGAGGTCCCAAGAACAAGGAGGAGGTTTGAAAGAATGGAACCCAAAAGGGAGTATTTCACAACATCTATTTTGTTTTGGCGAAGAGCAAATAATGCTATGATCATCTCTGTTGCGTTTCCACATGTTGCATTAAGAAGTCCTCCCACTGCAAATTAAATCAAAATTAATTAACCCCAACAATATATAGCATTAGTCCACATTGATTAAATATTGTTTAGTAATAATAATTGGATATTCTAATTAGAAGTGAGAGCTATGTACCTGTTGGACCAGTGAAGTAAGCAATTTGCCTGGATTATTTAATTTGAGTAGACAAAATTGGAAGGAAAAAAAAAAAACCAATGTTAGAAATTGTGTACATATATATCTGTATGTCATAATTTAGAGAGCTGCTATTTGCACTTTGCTCTCTAAAAAATTCATCACGCTCTTTCTTAATGAAAAAAATATACGAAAGTAAAATGACTTTTTAGAATACTAATGACAATTTTCTTTTATAAAATAGTACTTTCTAATTAGCAAAACTGCTTACTCAGTAAGGAAGCTGACACGTTCAGCAAGTGGGGTGAGTCCCATCAAACTCAAAGCAAAAATCCAAGGCTGCATTGCACAATTAGAACAAATACAAATGAACATCAGAAACTAATTAATTTACAAAAGAAGGAAAAATCTCATATTTCTGATTAATTGTTCCAAATTAATTAATTAAATGAGAATATGCACTTACTCTCCCGAAGTGATAAAAATCAGCCAGAATTGCAAGGGGGATGGCTGGGAAGAGCACTGCAAGTTTGGTGCCAAGAACAACCTCATGCAAATTGTTGAGAATATTTCTAACCATTTGGAATCGAACATTCGAAACAAGAATCGGATCGGATTTTTTTCGTACAATCGAAGCTGACAAATTTTGTGGTGTTCTTGATCCATTGATCCACTGCTCTCTATCATTTCCTGAACCCTTGTTATAATCACTAATCCCATTCTCTATGTTGTTCAAAGCCTCCTGGGATTCTTCCATGATAGATATATCGATCAAAACAAAACCCTAAACCCTTCCACTTTCTTCACCGCGAATGAATGGAGTATTTGGAGGGTTGATGAACAGCAAATGAAGTAGTATCTCTCTTTCTTTCTTTGTTTGTTAAGAAACAATGGTTTCTACATATATAAATATAGGATAAGGCAACTTCCTGGAATTTTCTGAGTTTGTTTATATTCATGCATGAGTCTCCACGTACTTTAAAAAGACTGGACTCTCTCAGGAGTTACAAGCGGTGTAAGGTTGACAACAAAATAAATATGTAATACCCCTTAAAGCACACAGTTAGACATGCATTTATATAATTATTCATTTTGGACCTAAAAAACATAAATACATGCATATTAATCCAAATAAGGCTGTTACATACAGACAAATAATATTTAATTTTCTAACAAAAGAGGTTATAGATGAAAACAAATGGGAAATTGTATAGTTCTGAACATGCTGTGCATCTTCTTTTTTAGTCATTAAATTAAACAAATCAAAGGAGACTTAAGGGTTAAATTTGAGAAAAGCGGTCACTTAGTACTATGGTCTGGTGGTATTACCTTTCACTTGGAAGTGAAAGGTCTTATGTTCGAATCTCGTGGATGACAAATTTGATACCAAATTAGGCTCAAAAAAAAAAAAAAAAAGATATTTGGCAAATTAATTTGGGTACATAATTCAATTGCCACCCAGGCTCCCAGCATAAACGCTCTTCGTACCAAGCAAAATTCGAACTTAATTACCATTTTGCCCATACAAAATGAAAAAAAATAAAAATTCAATCATACACACAACCATTCCCACTTGTACTCCGCCACAACCACGGATGTTAGGACCCGATCCCAGCCTTTCCATGCAAATCGTTGCCCTCGGCCTCCCCTGTCTATTAGAGTTTAGGGTTTAGGATTGAAAAATGAAGGCGAGAATGGGGTACTGTTGTATTAAGGTAGACGATTGTGGCAAAGTAGAGCAGTTCAATTTGGTATTTTAAATTTGTAGTAGTTTTTGTTTAGGGGCAAAATGGGAACTTTGGTTTGCTGGGTATATTTTGCTGAGATGAATCAACTTGCAAAAACTCATTGAAATCGAAAGCCGTTTAGCTAACTAGTTAATTGTGATCTAATGTATAGATGAACACAATATTGATGAAATTTTCACAATAATGCTTTTAAGTGCTAAACGATTTTTTATTTGAGCAAATTCGAATAAATTCTATAAATGAGGACCTGAAAATTAACTGCTCGGATTATGAGGTCACTCTGTGGAACGGATCTAAATGAATAGGTAGTGCTGTTCTGAAAATTATCTCTCTCACTTTCAATGCATTACTTATGTCTGTGAATCATCCGTTAACACTTGTAGAACACTGCATGCTCTATCCTCTTACACATCAAAACCCACACTTGGCAACACATATAATATTGTGATAAATTGTCCTCTTTTGTGTGTTGCATTTCACACACAGCACCCTGTCATTGGTTATAGTTAGCTCCAATATCTTTCAGTATGCTGCATGGAAGCGGTGAGGGGAGAGCGCTCTCCTCGAGAGGGTAACGGCAGCAACAATCTGCATGTACATCTCTGTCGTACCCAAAAGACAGAAGTTTCGTGGAATTTTCAAGCCTTCCTTGGAAGAGATTCAAACGGTTATCATGTCTTTACAGTTTCATATAACAAAAACAGTTCTAAAAAAATGTTAAACCGACCTAAATATACGATGTTGGTAAGATTATTCGAGAAACGAAAAATATTTGACGAAGTTTCCTCAAAGCGCATACACTCACTTTCTTCGTTTCCTTACACTCCAAAATATGGAAATTGCTCATCCGTATGAAAAAAGAAACTCTGTTGGATAAGTTTTGTCTATTGTCGTCATCTGTGCATATATTAGACAACTAATTTAATTATAGTCAGTAAGAGGATCGTTAGGGGACTCATTATAGTACGTATTTATTCAGTATATATTCACTATTTAATGGCCAAATACGGTCATATATGATATTCTTTCATTTTAGTTGCACACCTGACCGTTAGATGACTAATATATTAAGTAAATGCATGTATTGTGTGTAATTTGATCGTATAAACTCCAAATTTTTGTTTTGCTATAAGGCATTATTTCACGCATTCATTTTTACATGTCAATAATGCCACTGCATGTCTTTCCAAGAATATCATAGATATATTTAGTCTAAAGTCAAAAAAGGCTTCTTGTAAACTTGAGTATGTGACTCCATGGTAAAAAGACGACTATGGGGCGAATTGCAAACTCAAACATACACTCTCCTTACGCAAAGTATCGAAACCGACCTAATACATATATTTGTAGATGATTGGACCAGAAGTTACGTATTTTCATAATCCTTCGATGATATAAGGGTATGCTTGGGCTTGACATTGTGGCAAAATACAGGTTTATTGTGTGTGGTGATGTCGGTTGAGGAAGAAGATAGGTTAATTGAAAAAAAATATGTTATATGTATTAGTATATTTCTTTCTTATTAATTATAATCCATATGATCATTTTATGAAAAAAAAAAATTTATATGAATAATGTAATACATTCATCAGCCATGGTGTCATAACGAAATATGGTGTGTTTGTCACCTTAATTCGTATTAGATGATTCAACAGTTAATTATGCTTCAACTTCACATTGTCGGTAAAGAACATTATGAAACTATGCAAAGGGTTAAGACTTAAAGGATCACAAGATGTTTTGTATTAATTGATTAGCAATTCAAATAAGGAACTTTTGGGCCAAACCAAAAAGGAAAAGCAAAGCATGGGAATTGGATTTAAGAACACAGGGAAAGAAAAACAAAAGTTGCAATGTGTGGCATTAATGGAAATGACAAAAACTTGCAACCGAATAATAATAAAATCACGAAAACTAGTGTGGTAAAGCATGATCCACAAAAATAAAGGGGGCAATAAACATGAGGTTTCATAAATATTAGGGATGGTTTTGAGAATATCAAACTTTTGCTTTAGAAGCTTCATGAACAAAGGAAAGAGAAAGATAAGCGCGCGAACGGAGGAACCAAAACGCAGAGCAGAAGCAAACCCTAGCTCACGAAATGGCCGAGAAATTGGCACCGGAGAAGCGCCATAGCTTCGTTCACAATGGTGAATCTTTCTTCTTTTCCAAGTTTTGCATTTGATTTTGGTTTTCCGTGACTGAATTTTGTGTTCGGATTTAAATTTTAGGTCAGAAGGTGTTTGAATGGGACCAAACCCTAGAGGAGGTGAATATGTACATAAATTTACCCCCAAATGTTCCTTCAAAGCAATTTTACTGCAAAATTCAGTCGAAGCACGTCGAAGTCGGCATCAAAGGAAATCCTCCGTACCTCAATGTGAGTGAATTCACTGTAATTTGATTCATTTTCGTGAAAAGACTGAAGCTTTTGGGATTTGGTTTAAAACGGTGTATTTCTCGGTTTCGGGTGTACAGCATGACCTTACTTGCCCAGTGAAGACGGACTGTTCTTTCTGGACACTAGGTAATTAGTGTTTAGTTTTTAATTTTTCATATCTTCTGTAATTTTTTGTATATTTTTGGATGTTTTATGCTGATTTTGTTATTAATGATATGGTAGAGGATGATATAATGCACATAACACTGCAAAAGAGGGACAAAGGCCAGACATGGGCATCACCTATAGTGGGCGAGGGTCAGCTCGATCCTTACTCCACGGATCTTGAGCAGAAGCGCCTTATGCTTCAGAGATTTCAAGAAGAGGTGAATTACTCTTGTGCATCTTATTCTCACTCTATGTATTTATGTATTGCTGTTTGAATTCATGAGATAATGTGAAGCTAGTTCATTATGTTAGTGTTCCTTGTGGTGTGAGATACGCTAGCGAGCGTTTCTTTAATATCAAGGAGATTGATTTTGAAAAATGAATGGGATTTTGGATGCATAAAAAAATGTGATTGTGAGGTAATCGATAATAGGAGATGCAAAGCTCAGTATTGTGTGGTGCATTATGTTCCATTGGTCTATAATTTCACTAGGCTTTCTTAGATTAGAATGTGGCGATTTATTGTTCGTTGTACCCAAAAATTCACATGCTGAATTTTATTCGTAGGAAAGAAAGGAGAATGTTGACACAATTTTACCTGTACACAATAGTTTTCACTAGAAAGGCGATTAGCTTGGTTTTCTATCAAGATTAAATGTTGATGCAAAAATGAGACAACGAAGATGCAAAAATGTTGATGCAGGATCTGAGTAACTTTTTTTGCCTACAACTTAGTTTAATTCTAGTTACCTTAACTAGAACTCTACCCATGACGCTGAATTTGATATTTAAATTGCTAAGAAAACCAATGTTTTCTGGTTATCTACCGATCATATGAACCTCACCCAAATATGCTCTTTGATGAATTTTCTGATAATATAGCTAGTGATTCTTTGGCTCTCTGCAGAACCCAGGCTTTGATTTCTCACAAGCCCAGTTCAATGGAGGCTGCCCTGATCCAAGGACCTTTATGGGCGGTATCCGCTCTGATTGACGAGTTTGCTGCATTAGTTACCTGCATAAGCCTGGTATAAAATCCTGACCAACATTTAGTAAATAAGACAACTTGATTGGCTGGCCAACTTGCCTTCGTGTGATCTCTGTAAGAACTTCAGTTCTACTTAAAATCTGTTCTTGTTTACTTTTGTATCTTGTCTATAACTAGAAACTTAAAAATCTAGAATTTATGTAATTTATCTTCCAGTGTCTGCTTCTCTACTTTCCGACAATGGCACGGCCAAATAAATCTCTTGTTTATGAAGTATGATTTGAAGCTTTGAACTATGATTTGAGAAATAGAAATTAGGAAGTATCTTGATAAACATGTTGCCAGTATTAGGTTGGCTGCCTTTTTCTTAAATTCATTGTGAATATCTAGCACCCAATACTCAGAGGAACTTAGAATATGACTTCTTCCTGCACATGCCAACCATATGGTAAATTGCCCCCATCTGCTCTGTCTGAAAATTAAAGTTATCAACATACGAATGTTTGACATTAAATCGATGCCTTGTATATATTTAAAGTTCAGTTGGCGGGTTCCAATATAAAGATGAACTTGTTAGGTTTCAATAAGTCCTTTCGGGTTTAAAAGAGTGGCCTGAAAGGGATTTAGGCCACTTTATTTGATTTGATTTTATTTGTGTCTGAAAATGGCTAATGAGGTGACTGAAGTTGGACTGTTGGAGTGAGAATTGTATTCTAAAGTCTTGAAATTTGTAATATAATAGGCCATTTTAGATGGTTATAAATGAAACGGAATCACATTCCCATGTCTCGTGTTGGACATTAGCTGTTTTTATTGTATTTTGATTCAAGTATTGGAGGAGGGGAATCGAACTTGAAACATCGGGTGCAGGGGGACAATGCTCGGAAGTAGTCGTAACCGTGTTATAAGCCTTGTGTTGTTGGATGGTTGCTGTTAGCAGTGGTGCGTTTGTAGAAGTACACAGCAAAAACCTGATGGATGTTCTGTTGTGTGAACTGCTTTAGGGTGGTGAATTGCCGAAATTCACACTTTATTTACTCCATCTGCATCGCTCTCCCTGGTCGTATGCTTTGATGTTTGCTCAACTGCCTGAGCATAAAATTGAGAAGACGTAACGTAATCGGAGAAAATGAGGGTGCGAAAATCGTCATTCCTTCCTTATCCTTTGGCTAGCTTCTTGATGACGTCTGTGTTTTGGTTTGTTATTTCTTTCTCAGTTTTGGGAAATTTGGAAAAATAATCAAAATTTAAACTCCATATAGAATTATAGCTAACTTTTAAAATTTATGGTAATTATAATCAAAAGTTGATATAAAAGTACCAATATACCCTTAATAACTATAACTTTTAACAAAACAAATCCAAAGACTCCCAAAACCCAAATGTTTTTGTAGCCTTACGCTTCCTGATCTTCAATGTTTTCCTTCACACATGATTTTTTAAAAATAGAAGGAAAGAGTTGGATAAATGTGGGTTCTTGGGTGAAGCGAATGTGGTTTAATTGACTGAAGGTTTTCTCATTTGACTGAAATTCCTTATGCGTATTTGAATCTTGGTTGCTGAGTTTGGAAGAAGCGTGGGATTTGAGTGATTTTCTCGTCTACATAAGGGAAAGAAGAATATAGATTATATTCACACATTTCAAATTACTTCTCCCACTCTTAATTTTTTTAATTTTTTTTTATCAAGTGTTAGTGGTGTGTAGAATATCTAAAAAATATTAAAAAATAAAAGAGTATGAGGCAAGTAATTTGGATTGTGTGAATATAATCTCTTAAGAAGAAAAAGGAGTAAACTTTAGAGTTTGGAAAACAAAGGAGTGAAATTTAGATGTCCCTCAGGAGCAAAACCTGCTTGTCCTTCGTCACCTTCGTAGCCTAGACCTTGGACTGGGGTGGAGAGGACAACATGCTCACCACTGACGGAGCGATGACAATGAGGAAAACGGGTCTTTGAGAGAGAGAGAGAGAGAGAGAGAGAGATGACTACTAGAATGTCGAGCCACAGGAGTAGGCCAAGGTATTTGATGGAAATTTATCTCTTGAGATGCCTTCACACAACTAGAGAATATCTTTCGTTTAGTTACCGTCCATGTGACATGAGAGATTTTGATGCAAACAAAATCTTTTTTTTTGTTTTTATAAAAAAAACTAATGAAAAATCCTTAAATTTTAATTTTAATGAAAATAACAAAATAAATGTGTAAATGAATAGTATCAAAAGTAATTTTTAAAATTAAAAATATTCTTTTCGTTAAAAGTGAACGTACTAATTGTTTCATTAATATTCCTTTTTTTTTAATGACACAATCTTAGTTATTAAGAGACAAACAAAATATTAAATACAAATTAAGGTGACAATTCCCAACGGTCCCCACCAGTCGTCCTCCCCTTTCCGCAAACCAAAGTAGCTTCGACGGAGGGCCGTCAGCAGCAGTCACCCTCCGTCCCTCGATCTCATCCCCTGCCACTGATTTCCCATGCACTATATATTCTTTACGACACCTGCACGTACAAAAGTCCAAAACTTCTTCTTTCCAGTCTTCTCTCTCTCTCTCTCTCTCTCTCTCTCTCCCCCCCCTCATTTCTTCAATGGTGCCTCTCAAACCTAACCATCTTCTTATTCTTTGTTTTTCTAACCCATGATTCCAAAACCCACCTGCGGATCACACAATCGAATCCAAACCCGCCAAACCCCACATGGGCCGAGACGGAAATCGACCCAATTCAGCTCCCCTTGTCCTAATCGCCGGCAACTACTGCCACGACGTTTTAATCAAAGACGGCGTCGTTTTGGCTGAGACTCTCGGCGGGGCCGCTTCCTTCATCTCCAATGTATTCGATGGAGTATCCGTTCCCTACGATTTGGTCTCCAAAGTCGGGTCGGACTTTGCTTACTCGGTCCCGCGTGACCCGATTGTCATACCCGATTGCAAAACCACTCTCTTCCACGCGCATTTTGATTCCGGCGTCGGCGGTGACGAACACCAGGACCGGGTTCTGCAACGGGTAAGAGCTTGCGGCCCGATTAGGCCCTCGGATCTCCCCGAAACGAGGTTTGATTTCGGAATGGCGGTTGGGGTCGGCGGCGAGATCACCGTTGAGACGGTGGAGAAGTTGGTTGAGACTTGCAACACTGTGTTCGTGGACATTCAGGCTCTGATTCGAGCTTTCGACGGAGTCGACGGGACTGTGAAGCTTGTGGGTTTGAAGGAGAGTGGATTCTTCCATCTCTTGCCTCGAATTGGGGTTTTGAAGGCGTCGGCGGAGGAGGCATTGCTTATGGAGGTGGAGGAGGTGAGGAAGCTCTGCTGTGTTGTGGTGACGAATGGGAGGCGTGGGTGTAAAGTTTATTGGAGAGACGGTGAGGTGGAAGTTGCGCCTTTTCCGACGAACCAGGTTGATCCGACGGGCGCAGGAGACAGTTTCCTTGGTGGGTTTGTTGCCGGGCTTGTTAATGGCTTGACTGTGCCTGATGCTGCATTGCTCGGCAACCTTTTCGGGTCACTGACTGTTGGGCAAATAGGATTGTCCAAGTTTGATTCCAAGTTGTTGCAGGTGTGCCTTATTTTTCATTGCCATTGTTCTCTTCCTGTTTGCTTCGGTTTGGATTGTGGGATAGTATGTAGATTTATTCAATAGTGTAAAACTTATGCCACTAATACTGTCTATAAAGTTTGGAATTCGTATTTCGATATCATAGATTTGGTTAACTTATGTTCTTGTATATTCAGCGATTATTATAGCCGGATCATGTTGTTATGCTGCTGAAAAAAGTGCATATATCTATGTGAAGTTGTGGTTTCCAGTTTATGCTTTCTCAACCTAGACTAAAAATATGATCAGTTTCCAAATTGGGTGCAATGGCGAATATTAAGTTAAATGTAGGTGAGATGTTTCCACCACATATTCCGTGATGGATGGTGAAGATAAGTAGCTCTGCGCATTGTAGTTCACTAACAGATGCTAATGGGAGAGGTGTGTAGGCTTCATTCAGCCATCTGCAGAACTTAACTTTGCGTAGGAAATGTGACTCCATGTTCTTTAGTGTCTCATGAAATATTTTGCTGTTTTCAATGTCTTCGTAACAGTTATGAAGTGTATGTTGTTTTCAAGAAATTTCACAGTAAAGATTTATGCGGAGATCTTATTGTATTAGCACTTTCAAAAATCAAGAATATTTACGCGTTAGGCATGTGTCTTTGCTTATAAAAAATGCAATAGAGGCGAATAAGTTCTGGTGAAAAGGCTGATTATGTGGTCGTGTTTGTGCTCACACTTATTCTGTTGTAGATTTTCATCTCGTAGTTGTCGTACTACCTATAACTATGAAGTTTTCACTAATTGTTTCGATAGTGAGCGGACGTTGTTTTGTTTAACAAATATCTAATTGTAGTCTCTCACCTTATGTCTTGCAGAGAGTTCGTGAAGAGGTGCAGAGGAGAAAAATGCAGTGCGCTAATTGCCACGAAAGAAAAGATGACAGGTTTAAGTTTGTGAACATAGCAGGACATGAGCAATTTCATGCATCCCTAGGAGCAGCTAAGCAGACAACAAAGTGCCTTGCTCAGGAACCTCAACGGGATCTGCCAAGTTCTCCTCCCAAGTCAATGGAACAGGGTGTCCTCCCTCAATACGCGACACAGCCTAAATTGTTGCCCGTCTCTGTCAATGAAGAACCAGTTCAAATCGTTGGCACTGCCGGTAAGCCAGGATTCTCGACAGTGCAGCAGTGAATTTCCTCATCCATAACCTTACGCGGGATTGCGTCATGTCGAAGATGCGTGTATCTTTACTGTTTAGATCAATGTAGAACCCCAATGCAAAAATAAAAGAAGAAACAAAGTTGCTTTCTCTGAGAGAATTTTTACTCCTTTCTACTCCTAGTTGCAATTACTAATGAGTGTGGCGGTTTTCTTCTCAGAAATCGGACCCCTTTAGGGCAAGTCGTAACATACTAGTATTTCTTTCGATTGAGAACTGGCAAAACGTGTAAATTATGCCGGGCATATCCGTGCATTATACGGCCATGATGGGCGGAGTTGTGGCCAGTTGTGGCCCATTAAGCTGTAATCAGTATGGGGTTCGGTCCATCACTTAGTGTCGGCAAAAATAATGGGTGTCGGCACAAGTCCATTATTTTTTAATCATGGAAGTCCATTATTTTTTAATCATGATCGTGATTTTATTTGATTTATTCAGTTCGATAGCCGAGCATAAAAAATGTGTGAAAAGTTACGAATTATGAACTGATCTTGTAGAATTGTAGAAGATTTTAAAATTGGTATTGCATTAAATGCATGAATTGCGAAACTGATTTTGCAGATTGATATTGCATTAAATGCATGAGTTGTGAAACTCATTTTGCAGAAGTTCATAAATTATTATTTACGGATCTAATATCAATTCAAAGTTTTTATTGGGGATGTTTAGTTTAGGATTGTGCTATTCATACATTTTATTTTACTTCTCATATATCCTTTGATAATTTCTGTCCGTTGATCTTCTTTAATTCATTCGATTTGACGGTAAAAAATTTAAAAAATATGTAAGAAGTAAAATAAAATATGTAGATGTCATGCCTCTTAGTTTATAGTTTTGGCCAAGTTAAACAATAGGTCTATTTAGCTTTTCGTCTTTATAAATAAAACTCCACTCGTTAAATCAATCAGCAGTAAATGAAAAAAGTCGATTAATTTCCACCGCGTGTACGCTAGCAACAACAGCAGTGAAATGATTGGCTGGCCCCACAAATTCCCTAACAATCGGAAAATGGTTTTGTAATATCCAACCCGGTCCTCTATTCTTTTGGAAAGAATCTTAGAGATTCGTGAATCGTATCTATTAGATCATGTAATTATTTTTTATTAAATACTACTTATATTTATTTTTAAATAAAAATATTAAAAATAATTTTTGATAGCACGATGTATGAACATGATTCATAGATTATTAGGATCCTTACAAAGAAGATCCGAATTCTTTTAATATGATCAAAATGGATTCTCGGATTCTCATAAAGAAAATCTAATAAGGATCCGAATTCTTTTAATATGATCCAAATGGATTATCAGAATCCTCGTAAAGAAGATCAGATGAAAATCCAAGTTCTTTTAATATGATCAAAATATAAAACGGTACATTATGTGTTACTGTACATTTCGGGACGCAATCATTTTCCTTAGTTAAGGGAACTCCAAAAAGCCGTCCCCCAAATAAACCAACAAACAAATAAAACATGAATCCCTGTCAACGACTCGCCAACCCCCTCACCCACCCGGACGGCTCACTACCACCACTACCTCCTTTTATTTTCCGACATCCCTAAATTAGCCATATCCCCTTCTCTAATTCTCCGTTTCTACCCCCGCTCCACCTCTCCAACCTAGGGTTTCTGATCTGATTCCTCGTCCACCGGCCGGTTTCAGAAACCCTATTCCTCGCAGAAGCTCATATCCCCCAACCGAATTTTCGCGCCAGGGTTTTATATTATCAATCGTCCAATCGTCGGCATCGTGACGGATTCCGGTTAAACTTTAGCTGTTTCAGCAGCGGCGATGAAGCATACGAAGAGGAGAAGGAGGAAGAAGAGCTCGGCGGTTCCGACGCCGGTCGCCAAGGAAGACGAAGAGCAGAAGGTGATCCGCTCGCTTATGGAGGTTTTCTCGTCGGTATCGCTTGACGACGCCACTTATGCATATCGCGAAGCCGATGGCGACGCGGGCAAGGCCGCGGAGATTTTGGAACGGGCTGTGGCTGAATGTTCCGAAGAGCCATTCACGAGCTCCACAGCGAGTGGCGTTTCTGGATCGGACGCGGCTTCGAGTTCGGGCTCGAGCTCGGGTTCGAGCTCGGGTTCGGGTTCGTCGGAAGGGTTTGAGTCGGGTTGTATTCAGAATTTGGTGAGCGAGAAGGGTTTAAGGGGTAAGCAGAAGAGGGTTGTGGCGGCCGCCGGAACGGTATCGACGGTTTTGGGTAAGGAGTACGTGAGCTCGATTCCTAGGAGGGCTCCAACGTCGTCAAAAGTGACGAAGCTGAAGGGTTTTGGTAATGGAGGTGCTGCTGGGCAAGAGGAAGCTGAGCAGTTTCTTTGTTCTATGCTTGGAGATGAGTCTGAGCTGAGCTTGGCGGTTGTTAGAGACGTCCTTTGTATGTATCCTCTGTTGGTTTTTTTATGTTTATGATAATATCATTTCGGGGTTTTTCGGTTTCTGTACGAACTACAACTTGCATACTAACGAAAGCGATGAATGAAAGATGAATTGTCTTTTGGTCTGAAAGTTTGCTTTGGTGTGCGTTCAGTGGAAATATTGTATAACCCGAAATTTTGGTTTTGCAGTTCAGTGTGGGTATGATGTTGAAAAGGTACTAAGTGCTGCCCTATGCCAAGGAAGATGAGTTAGTTGCGGTATAGAGTTTCTATCATGTTTCCGTCAGTGCTTAAGATGATTGCAGAACAATCATCAGGTTTCACGGGCATTTTAGAAACTTGGTCCGAGCTAATGAGAATCCGTATTTGAACCTCTAGGTTGTTGCTGTTGTAATCTGATGATTATTTATATGCTTCTTCAGGCCCTGGATGCATTGCTTGAGGTCTCTTCCTCGTATGAACAGTCCAGTAGTAGTTCTAACTATAGTATGTTTTTTAAGGAAGATAGTAGACATCCCTTTGAACAGTCTGACACTGTAAGTATATTTTTTTTGTGTTCTTAAATGTGTGAAAATAATTGTTAGACATAATAGTGAAAGTTGTGCTCTTAGTCATTTTCATTGTGCTGAACATTTATTTGATAGCTCGCATGCATAGTTTGAGTTTTTTGAATTATGAGTTGTAGAAAGAACGCACAGTGGATATTTGAAAAAAATGATAAAGGAAGATCAAAAGGATAGAAACTATTAACATCACACCTGTAGGGTTTAGAAATCACTCCTAGGGTAAGGTTGCATCACACAAACCTAGATCGAAGCAAAGCTCCTGCAATTCTATTAATCTTTAAACTGTACCCAGAGAGTTACAAGGATGTAATTTATAAAGACTTAAACCTAAAATCCTTAAAGAAGGATATAATTCTTGTAGAACGAGGAAATTGAAAGACTAATAGGCCTGCTGGAGCCCCTGTATTTTAAAACCCTAGACAGTAAAAGTAGAACAACCTTTGCCCACATGACAGATTTAGGGCGGCCTTCATTTTTGCTCTTCATTTGCTTCTTTATTTGTGTTTTATCGATGTGAACCATCTTTTATTTCGTACTATTCAGGACCATCTCTAGATGCTTTCTTGTACTTGTTTATTTTTTGCTAAGAATCTGTTCTTATCAGTCCCTCACCAGAAGTTACTATACTGTGTCCTGTGGAAGAACAAAGACTCCTCTGAATATGGAAGAACAAAGACTCCTCTCAATATTATGCTCTGCTCGCTTCTTTGCAAGTGGGGAGTTGAGTTTTTGGAGGCTGGGGTTGATTCAACTCATTTTAAGTATACATGACTAGTGTGATGTCATTTAGAAATTTTAACCTATCAAAACATTTGTCTTTTTTGGTGTATTTTGTATTTTTAAATTGCAGCAAGCAACACCATCACCTCGTTCTCCTCTGTCTCTCAAACACACACATACACATGTGCACACACAAAATGTACATGCAGACTAACAAATAGAAAGTTAGGTTCCGGGTTTGACAGATTAGGATGGGTCTCTTGGTTTAGGTTTGACTCTTTTTATTCAATCTCGGTGCCCTGGATTCGTTACACTTTTGAAACAGTTGAAGAGGATGTAGTTATTACCGGTTTTAGTTTTTAATAGGACGTAGTCATTACCCTTGTTATCCAGGGGTTGCCTTATTGAAACTGGGATGTGTTTATGCTGTTGTCTGTAAGAGACTTGTAAGTGGCCTGACACGTAGGCTTATGAAGGATAGCCACTGACAGTGTTGATCATGTTATTTTTTATGAATTGTTATTTGTACATATTTTGGCCTCTAAAACGTTTGTGTATACTTGTTTAAATTTCTGTGCTTCATTGCATATGTACTGATGGCATAATTTTGTGATAGCTGACAGATAGGGCATCTGATTGCACTTCGCATTCGTCTGAATATGAGCAGGATAATATATGGTATGCTGGATGTGCTTGCAATTAAATTATTCTGATTGACTCTTCGTTTTTAACTTTAATTTTTCTTGATGAATGCTTAGGCCGTACACTGTAATTTATCCTTTTTTTCTATTTTAATGTAAACTTTGAGTATACATACTGTGAGAAGCTTATCAAAATGTAGTACTTTCATGGAGTTCTGTGGTCATGTTCAAGTGTGTGGCCATATATGATTTTGATGGTTAGGAACAGTCAACAATGTTTAATACGTTAATCAGCCATCTGGCAATGGGATGTGCACTGTAATATTATGTTCAAACATTTAGAGCCCATGCATTTAGTTACATATGATGCTAGCTTATCATGAGATTGATAAGTAGATTATGTTATTGAAGAATTCACTCATTTTGGTTCCCTTTTGAGGTATTTCCCGGAGATACAATTGATATTGTCTAAAACTAGATGTCCAATTGTTTTCAATCTGGATGGTCATAATTTGTTTTTCAGTAAATACATTTAGTTTGTGCTAATTATGGTAGTAAGTATTTCATTCACCATTTAAATGCTATTATGCCGCTTAGCCAAATATGGCACAATATAGATTTTTCTTAGTCCCTTTTTTAGACCAAAATTTGTATCTCAATTTCTTTGGTTCATTGCTTTGAGGATGTTAAAAATATAGAACCTGATGTTGTTTTCTTTGTTTTAGGAATTATTCAAAGGTACTCACTGATTCTGAAGCTCATTCTCCTGCTAGCCCCAAAAGTACTGCGGCAGATCTCTCTCAAAAGGTGTTGGAATCTTTGTTTAACATCTCCAAGAGTCCTGAATATGAACCAAAAACCATGAATTGGAAGAATGTTGCAACTAAATTGCAGTCATTGGCACCTAGGTATGATGTTTGCACTTCTGGCTCAGCGGAAGCACAGCAGGTCAATTTTGGTATTGAACTTCGAACTCCTGACGCTTCTTTTGCATTTGCATCTTCTCTTGTGCAAGGGATTAATTTCCTTTTATAGTAGTGGTTTATTTTTCTCAGAATGAAGGTTTTGATTTATTTGATTATTTATTGAATGTATCCTATTGTTTTCTTTTTGAATTAACTGTTATCTATCCTACTATAGCAATGCCTTAATCTACCCAAATATGTAAATTTCTATATCTATAGCAATGTCTTATCTTTGTTTTTCCGTGTAGCTCAAGGAGATGAATATCATGCATTCAGAGGAACTGCAAAGGAGCACTGGGATTCAATGAGGTCCTACTATCAGAAAGTAAGATGGTTTTAACACGTTACTTTCAGCGGTTATTTCAGTAACTTACTGATGAGGGAACATTTTTCTGCAGGCTGCAACGGCATATTCAAGAGGAGCACGGGAACATGCAAGTTACCTTGCTGAGCAGGTCTGGGCTTCTCTAAAAGCACAATGTTGTTTTGTTGTTTGGGAAGTGTGCTTTCTGTGTATTGAAAAGAATGTTGTGTTTTGAGGCATGCATGTCAGTTTTTGCTATTGATGGTGGAGTGGTTGTCCAGCGTGTTCTCTAGATTTGTGGACTTACATCCAAGAAAGCAGCATTGGCAATAACCCAAAGTTTGCACCTTGCACATCCATTAGTTTCCCTCTATCAATTTCCTCATCTGCCCAATGGTCTAGGAAAAACCTTACCCTAGGTTGTTGCCCCTTGAGTGTTAGTTTAAGGTTTATTTCCAAGCGGGCTAAGCCTCAGGACAAGTGTTTTGTAATGTATTTAGTTATATTTTATAGAAAGAAGTTGAATTCAAGTTGAGATATTAATGTTACCTCTTATATTTTGATTGGCTAGGCGAAGGTACAAACTAAATTGGCACAAGCAGCTGACGAAAAGGCAAGCCAGGAAATCTTTAAAGCTAGGTTGGTGCAATGATGGCATGAAAATATTCGTTGTCTTATGCAACTCTTGCATTTTGTGTTTGTAGACAAACTAAGCTAATGTTCTAATCTGCAGAAACAAGGGCATAGAAAATGTGATAACAATTGATTTGCATGGGCAACATGTCAAACAAGCCATGAAACTTTTAAAAATCCATCTACTGTTTGGAACTTATGCACAATGTAAGTGTTTTGCAATTTTCTTTTTGCTTTCTCTTTGAACAATTTTGATCTGCAATTTTATTAGGTATGGTCTATTTACTTGTCTGCTCCGGTACAGCGGTTCAATTCCTCAGGGTTATCACAGGGAGCGGGTCGCATGGTTATGGAAGGTCAAAGCTGAAGCAATCGGTAGGGGTTTTAAATTCTCTTTGGCATGAATTTTTTGGGGAAATAGTGGGGTGCTTGGTAATGCATATTAAACTGATCAAACTGGTGACTGAGTTAATGTATGTGTAAATAAAATGTCTCTTACTTTATGATGGTGCCTTCGTATATTGCTACTGTAATTTTGGTGTTATTTAACTCGATTGTATATTGATTAGGGATATGCTTTTTGGAGCGGTTGAACGCTAACAACTGTTTTCTTTTTGGGAAGTTTGAGTTTTCATAACAATGAGGTTTTATTTCTCTTCTTCCCCTGCCATGGGGGTATTTGGCTATAGCGTAATAAATGAAAGTAATGATCGTTGAATTTTACCTTCCCATTTTTTATGGAAACATTGTAAGAAGAAATCTCAGAACTGTCCAAAGTATATCTTGGTTTCTTTAATTGGATTATTTGATCTCTCAACTTTAAAAATATAAGCTTCGTTCAATATTTTTCTTACTGCTTGCTTTGTGCAGGTCATCGAACTTGCTGAGAATGAAGGTATTCAATGGAGGGAAGAGAATCGAGGAATGGTATTACTCAAGCTAGGTTCACATAGAGAGTTCAGCTTTCAGGATGCGGAGAGTGATCCCGAGTAACCTCCTTTAGCATGGTATGTAATACCCACCACCGGTTGTGTTTCTGGTTAATGTTGTCAGTCAGTAGGGAGTTACTGTTTAGTGTAGTCGCCTTAATGTCGTGTCGGAGGCCAGGTTTACGGATGTCCATATTCATCTCTTTTCTCTAGGTCGCTTAATTATCTAGACGCCTCTATTGAAGAAACTAGCTCAGCTCAAGTTGCTCGTTGTACTTACCGTGTAGGGCATGTATATAACTTGAGAAAACTGTGTAAAACTTAACTTAGTTGACAATGCATTGAAACTGAAACTGTTGGATCATGACATACATCGTTGTTTGTTACTGTTTATTGTTTCCTGCTTTGCTTGTGTTTGCCGCTTCAAGTGTGCGAGTTCCACTTTTACCTCATCAAAAGGCATGTTGACCCAACATATGCTCACAAGTTGTGTTTTCGCGCCGTATGTACGGTAAGGACGGGCTCCTCGTTTGCCAAATTTGACAGATTTGACGACAGGAAGTAAAACAGAACACTTGAACATGGTTTAGAGGGAGCTCGCCAACTGTGTTACATGCGGTCTACCGGCCGCAAGAAGGCACTACCAAGTCTTCCTATCCTTCCTGCTACTGCTCCGGCTAGACGGAGCTTGTGAGCAAGGGTTCTCCCTCGAAATGGCTTTTTATTCTACGTAAGTTAGGGACCAAAGTGATTTACAGTGGACAGCCCAAAGACTAGTTCTATCGTTTTTTAGGGACCAAAATGAGGAGTTAAATGTATTCCAGAGACCATTTTGTCTAAAAGGTCTAAAAATAATACAAAAAGTTAGAAACATGTATTTCTTTTCTTAGGATGAAAAGTTTGGTGGTAAAAAAAACAAGAAACGCTCGAGCCCCACTGGGCAGTGGTAGCCGCAAAAGGCAAGGAACTGTGCACTGTTGAACCTGCATCAGAAAGAAAAATAAAAAGAACTAAGAAGATGCAGGCCGAAAAGGGAAGGAGAGGATGAGTTTTTATTTATCTTGCTCCCCGTGCACTGCACATTGAACAAAAAATGCCAGCACGTGGTATTCGAAGAGAGTGAAGCAAAATAAGAAGGAAATGCATGCATGCATGGTCCTTGTGGTTATCGTCCACGACTAAATACAGTAAAACCTCGGTATATATGAACAAAGTACGTTGGCAATCAAGCATACCCACTAGATGCAATGGCAACCAAATTCGAATTCCTGGTTTCATTAATCCAAGTGGTCACCCAAATTCCCTTACAAAATCCCGCATAAATTCACACTACAAGAAAAATAGCTCTAAAACACCAATCTTATCGGTGCCAATTTGACGAAATTGTCACGGAAAAGAGAGGTAAAAAATGCAAAAATTCCAATTGTAAATCATCACCATATAAAGTAAAAATAAAAAATGGTGAAACTTTCAATATTTCCACAATGCCTCTCACTTTGATGGAAAAGAACAATGAACAATTGACCAAACAAAATAAGACTAAATTGTAATTTTACATGTTTTAAATGAATTTTCAAATGCACACGTTGTGGATGGTTAATTATTCTTCCACTTTTTTTTTATTAAAAATTATCCAAGGACAAAGTAGGTATTCAACATATTTCCCACCACAAGTATCAAACACCATTCTTGTCACCATTTGATCCAATTCTACCACCACCTTCGAGAAGGAACGAACGCTTTCACTAGCTCAAAGAACAAAGACAATGTTAATTAGACACAATTTTAATATCCAAGTGTTGCAATGCTTTTTTACCATAGTTTTTATTTTATTTTAATATTAAACCACGTTTGTGTTGTCAGAATTTAAATTCAGATCACATGATACTTGTGAAGCGTTGAGCTCCTTCTAAGGATGCTGGATCTTGAATGCCCAAGTTCTCATAGCGAGGATTGAGTGGAAGTTGGCCAAAATAGAGGTGGAAAGGCCTATCACTGGTCTTCTGCATTTTAGTTTCTAATGGAAGGTCACAAAGATCTTTTGTCGCAGAAAAAATGGAGTTGTGAATTTCCAAAGTAGCTTTACTGTAAACAGCTTCAAAGCAGCTGTACTCTTCTAGTGCATGCTGGACTTGTTTGCATGCCAAGAGCCATGCATCTGTTCCAGGCTTCAAGTTTTCATTGGATAAGTCTACAACGGGAACTACCTTAGGCTCGAAAGTGGCTAACTCAAGGCCAAGACAGCCAATTTTGAGCCGTTTTCTGGCCAAACCACGGCGAGTTAGCCATAAAAAAAGGTAACATTCTCTTTGTCTCATCGAGAAGTATGATTTTCGTTTTTGAATCACTCGATTTCGTTGAGTATTGAAGAAGTTATGAACGTTTAAAGTTTACCCAGTTTTAGGCGAGTTTTCCAGTTTTCCGGCTGATCAGTCACCTTTCAGGCTATTTTCTGGCCGTCTCAGTCAACCATTGGGCTTTCAAATGGTATAATCTTGTTCTACACTTTACTATCTTCATTTTGATATATTATGGATCGAATTTGGTTAAGAAACAATTGAGTTATGAAGCTTTGAAAGTTGCCTAAACTTCCGGCTAAGAGCTCCATGACACTTAACAGAGTTTTTAACAGAATGACCAAAATAATGGATGGTGGACAATCTCAGGACCATTTCTATTGATTTTCAATCTCAGAGACCAAAGTGATGTGTTATGTAAATCTCAGAACCATAGCCAAAATTAAAATCAAAATGACCATGTGCTTGTTTGTTAAAAAACGAATATCCTAAAGAATGGAACTTGCTTTACCGGCTGCCCATAGCTTAACAAGCACTTGCCTTCGTCTATAAGTTTGTTCAACAACAAAACAATGGGACTTCATTAATTCAACAGGAGAAATAAAATTATCATGAGCGTTGAGGTTAAACAAATCTCCAAGGAGATTATCAAACCATCTTCTCCAACCCCCGACCATCTTCGCCGATATCAGTACTTCTTTCTCGATCAATTAGAACCCCCACTCTATATCCCTCTGCTCTTCTTCTATGAGTTCAATGGCCACACACAACCCAAAATTACAGTAATATCCAACCACCTCAAGCAGTCCTTGTCCCAAGTCTTAACCCTTTACTACCCTTTAGCCGGACGAGTGAAAGACAACAAATTCATCGACTGCAACGACGACGGCATTCCCTTTGTTGAAGCTCAAGTGCGCAACTGTACGCTTTCCGATGTTCTCAAAAACCCTAACCTTGCTCAGCTCAACAGGTTCTTCCCATTTGAACTCGAAAATTACCACAACGAAATTCCCGGAGGGGTCCAGCTCAACATGTTTCAGTGCGGAGGGTTTGCAATCGGCCAATGCGTGTCTCACAAGTTTGCTGACGGGTTGTCCAATTCGTGTTCACGAACACCTGGGCCGCCACCGCACGCGGAGATCAAGCCAATATAGACCCTCCACAATTTGTGTCAGCTGCACTCTTCCCCCCACCGAAGGAGTTCAACCTTGGATCAGGTGGTAGCATGCCACTCACCAAAGATAAGGTAACACGGAGGTTTATTTGCAACGCTTCTGAAATAGAAACCCTCCGAGCAAAATACCAACGGAATACCAAAAATGTTACGTCAAAACGCCCTTCCCGCGTCGAGACCTTAACCACCTTCATATGGAATCGATTTGTGGCGGCTGCAAAGGGTTGCGCTACGAATAAATTGTAACGTTGCAAATTCTAAGCAACAGTTCCGATGATGAAGAATGTGATGACGGGACGGTGCTTGGGGAGCTACGAGAAGAAACAAACAAGATTGACAACGAGTGTATCAAGAAACTACAAGAGGGTGACGAACTCTTGCAAGATATGATGCAACTAGGTAAGGACACGGCTACGTTATTTGGCTTCAGTAGTCATTGTGGGTTTCCACTCTATGAGAATGATTTTGGTTGGGGGAGGCCTACGTGGGTGGGGTCACCGGCACTGGTTTACAATAACTTAGTGGTTTTCAGGGACACCAAAAAGGGTAACGGAATAGAGGCATATGTTAGCTTGGAGGAGAAGGTCATGGCCAAATTCGAATGTGATAGCCAATTGCTCTCTTATGTTTCTCCAACTGGTCGGGTGCTCATGAATTATGGAAGTTAAGTGTTGATGTGTGTGTTATTAATTTCCCTAAATAAAATAAAATAAAATAAATAACATTTGTGTTATTCAAGTTTTAGTATTTCTTCCACTTTTTCTTCCATTAATGAAATTGTTTATAACTCATTCGTTCTATATTTTATTTTCCTGCAATATAAAAAGTTAACGTTTCAATGTATTAGATATTCCATGACCTGGCGACCATAGTTTTTGGGTGATTAAAGTATTGTTAGTGCTAACATGAGTCTTCATGAGGTGCGTAGTTAAAGAAAGTTTTTTTGTTTTTTGTTTTTTTTAATCTTTACAAAAGATTTAAATTTAATAAAAATCTAGTGTTAAATTACATATTGATTATAGTCTATTGATGTGTGAGGTGATGGAGGTGGTTCGGAGGGCCACTTGTTGGCTTCAATCTTTCAAGGAAGCAAATTCCACACCCAAGGGAGTTAGGCAATCTCCCCGGATCAAGTGGAGCGTTCCAACGGAGGGAGAAATTTTTAGTTGTGATAGGAACATAAGTGATACATCACATGTTTTAATAGGAATGACGGAAAATTTATTTTTTAAGTTATTAATTTTTTAGCATACATATCCCATAATTTATTTAATGATACATAATGTATCATCCCCGTATATATACCGGTCACATTGAAAAATCTTCCTCACGGAGGGCTGGGTTAAAGTAAATGTGGATGGTGCTACGAAGCTTGGTGAAAATCTGGGCGGGGGAAGGTCGGAGTGGGATCGGTGCTTCAAGTGGAGTTATTAGCTGTGCTGGCGGGTGCGAGGCTTGCACATCAACTCGGGGTCCACCAAGTTGTGGTGGAGAGTGACTCCTCCCAAGCTGTTGCTCCCATCTGTAACCCACTCTGGGAGGCTGTCTGCGATGGGTCTTATAGCACAAGACGTCACTCAAGTTGCGCGCCTTCTTCACCCTACGAACTACGGAGTTCCTGCACACCCCTCGAACATGTAATGGTGCTGCTCATAGATTGGCCAAGTTTGCTATTTTAATTGGCAATGGACTAGTTTAGTTTGAGAAGCCTTCTGATGTTATTTAGGACCTCCTTGCCCAAGATTTGATTAATCTCTTTTTGCAGTCAATACTATAGACTTTCCTTACAAAAAAAAAAAAAAAATTAATGGACCTAAATATTAGTATTGAATTGTTTATACCGAAATCTATGCACTGAAATATATTATATTAATTATTGTATCTAAATGTATATACCGAAATGTATCCGCTGAAATGTTAGTACCAAAATGTATAATATTTAATTAATAGACCGAAATGTTTGTGCCGAAATATATGTATGAATGTGTGTACCAAAATATATTATATTGAATTTAATATAGCTAAATGAATAAGACAAAGCACATTGAAATATATTGTATAACAAACATTAGTTTATTTAAATTTTTACAACAAAATATATTATGATGAATGAAATGAAAATTATAAATATAATGAACACGCATGCAAATACTCTAATTAAGTTCAACATCTTGACATTTTCCAAGCTACATTATTGCAATTATTCAAGTTTTCCACCATTTAGATCCAAGTACTTTCTGGAAATTATTCAGGTGACCAAAATACTTTTTTTTTTTTCGTTTTTGGAATCAAGTAGATAAGTGTGCTTGTAATAAAATATAAAATAATACAAAAAGTTAGAAACATGTATTTACAAGCAATGGTGCCTGCGTGATGCTACGAGTTCACAACTCTATTTAAGCATATTTACAAACTATGTTTACAACTCTATTTACAAATATATGTACAACCATATTTACAATCCTATTTACACATACTAATCAGCATTTTCGAACTAAGTTGATCGACACTTCAGAGTTTTTTGTTTCCTCATATGTTCTATGTTTACAAATTGAAAAAAATAGAAGTTGTTACTGTAAATCATGACATTTTAAGTGAAGATGAGGAGATAAAATGTAATTATTGTGGAGCAGTTTTCTTAATTGCTAAAAGAAATTGAATACGTTCTTCAATGGATTCTCATATGCATTTAATAAGATATGTTAAAAACAAACATATGTTAATCCACCAATTTAAGTGTACCACAAGGAGAAAAAATAAATTTTCAATTGCTCATCAATAATTAAAATTGACATATGTAGAAGGAAGTAGACTTTCCGAATTGCTCATCTCACAATTTTATTAAGTTGATCACAATAAACTCTTCTACCACAATTCTTAACCTGCAAATAATGTGATTGTTTTCATCCTATTGTAAATGGAAATATAAACCTTTATTCTGATGAATTGTAAATTAAGAGAAAAAAAATGCATAAAAGGACACAGGATTTATAAGATCTAAAAAAGTATGGAAAAATGAGTAGCAATGCATGTACTGAATTCCAAGTCAAAAAATAAGTATTTTATTGTGTGGGCAGTCAGACCTAGAGAACTGATTGATAGGATTTGGATCCTCTCCTGAGCTAATGGAGAGGATTCTTCTGACCTATCATCATAGACCGTTAAATTTTTATCCAACGGCTACAAGTAGAGAGTCCCTTTAAAATTATAATAATTGTAACCGTTGGATAAAAATCCAACGGTTCATAATGATGGATCAAGAGAATCCTCTCCATTAGCTCAGGAGAGGATCCAAATCCTGATTGATATACCTTAAAAACAATCACCTGAACAATAAGTACAAATGATCAAAGACAAAAGAAACAACGTCCATGGTAATAACTGAAATAACAAAAATGTCATGTGGCATTATCTAGTGAATGAGTTAGTTAACAAGGTTAGAACGGTATTGTTGTAATTATCATTTGTGGATATAGAAGAGGTGATAGGTCTTTCATTTGTGATATATTGTAATACTTTCTAAAAGTAATTAATACAATCTCTCTCTCTTTCTCTTCTCTCTTTGAATCTCTCTAGTCTTCTTCATTCTCATCAATTCTGCAATCCATTGTTCTTCATAGTTTTCTTAGGTTAATACATGGAACATTGCAAAAGAGCTCGTAGTTCAGTAAGTCAAGAGAAAAAAAGAAAGGGAAACCAACTCATCATTGCTCTAAACATGAAATCAAAATTCAAGGGAAACCGTCATAGAAAACCAACAAATTACTTGCTTGGTAAAAGAATAGGTTTTGGGGGCCTGTGGAAACCCCAACAAAGTTGACGTGGGTTTTGAGAGAGAGCAATCCCAAATCTTAGAGCATTTTCAAAGGAGATGTCAAAAATATTATGTCAAAATTTTATTTGATGGCTAATGTGACAAATTGAATACAAATGCTAAATTTATTTTATTATTTTATTGGGCCTAGAGTTACATTAACTATTAAAAAATAATCAAAATTAGTATTAGTTTTTATTCTATTGGTTGTTAATGAGACCCATGCATTAAAAATTAAATTGTATTTGACTCCTTCTTTGTTTGTTGTAAAAAAAGGCAGCTAGAAAGCAATGAGTCAAATGACTCACATGCCACATCATATATGGCATATCGATTGACGAATACTTAAATATATTTTAATCCTATTTGACATATTTGACATCTCATTTAGAGATGATCTTACTTTGTCAAACGCTTAGAGAATTACAAATTCAATAAATAAATAAAAACAAATGAAAAACTTTAACTTAAAAAACAAATAAATAAAACAATTTGTAATCCAATTACAGGACAAAATTATCAATGCCTCTTCGAGTTTTACATCAGTTTTTTTTTTTTTTTTAAGGTAGAATCAGAAAATTGAAAGAAAGAAAAAACAATACAATTAATTTTTACATTAGCTTAGGTTACTCAGATATCCGTGTAAGATTTCAATTAAAAACAAATAAGGGACAGATCAATAGCATATTTTGCTGTTAAAAGTTGAAATAAAATATTTTAGCAAAAAATTCAAATCCATGCAGAATATAAAAGAAATGAAGTAAAACAAATATTAGAAAATATTGTTTCATTGATAAAAGATGACAAAGTTGCTCAATGCAACACCGAAAGGAAAATATAAAAATATTTAAAATGACAATTGACAAAGTTTGCCTAAATGTATTGCCTTAACGTCGTGTCGGATTCCTTTAGCATGGCTTGTAAAACCTGAGAAATAGTGTAATCGGTATACGGAATAATATATCATATGTTAATATACAAATTATAAGATGACACACCCCAACCGAGATCAGGGCATGCTGGTCGTCACGTGGAAGTGACGTAGCCATGTGCACAGTGCGGAAGCTAAAAGAAGTAATATAAAAGTACGAATAATTTAAAACTAGCATACATAAAGTGATAAGATAAATGCTAGCATAAGTGAGACGCTGAATTCAGAGCCTAAAGTCTACAGAGTCCAAAGGAAAAGATACAACAATAGTGCACCCGAAGGTGACCCTACATCGGTGAGTGTCTGTCAGAAATGCCGGGACATCCTCTGGGAAAACCACCGAACCCGCTAAGCTACTAGAACCTGGAGGGGCGCAAAACAAAAGCGTGAGTGGACAAAAACAAAGCTCTTTGAAAACCATTTAGTAAAATACATTCTAACCCCTCGCCGTAAAACCTGTATACTTCCCAGAAAATAAACATATGCACGTATATATATAGATATGCCAATCATGCTCCATAATATGCCATGTCGGAACCTCAGAATGAAAGGTAAGTGTTCAGGTATAAATCACATCAATAGCATAACATCTGGCAGCCGGAGTCCCCCTAAGTGACCTGTACGGCTGAATCTAGAGCTCAAATCTCAATCACTATATCTGAACCTGCCCACGAGTCGGAACCACCTAAAGTGGTCTGTACGACAGGCCTGGGTGTAATACATATAAACGCTCTAGTGCTATGATCACGTGAAGGTTGTGCGAATAATCGCGGGTCACCTACGAGTCGGAACCACCTAGAGTGGTCTGTACGACAAGACTGTGCACCTAACTTGGATCCAAGCTGAGCGTGTGGTGCGGGAGGTGAACAACACGTGAAGGACTGTGCCCTACTCTGGGCGGGAGCACTAACACCGGGGGTGCAGGTTATGAGCTCTCTAAGCACCTCTAATCACTATTTAATGCAATTGTTAAACAACGCTTACCTGGTACTTATCTGTGCCTCCACAGCACCATTATATATATAGACATATGCATAATTGAATATATAAGTAAACGTATATGCAACTAATCATGCATAACCACCAATTATATAAAAGGAATGGCATATAACGATTAAACATTTATACTAATTTCTGGGAATTAATATGTATATAGGTATATACGGAAAACCAAAAGCCCACTCACTGGTATGTGGAAGGGTCGTAGCCCCCCCTGCCTCGAGTGTGCACGCTCGTCCTCGGGATAGGAATCACCTATATGCGAATTAACTATAAAAACGTTAACTTTAAAGCACATAACCTTCCGTTCAAAATAACTTCTCATACATTGCTCAAAATGGACAAATGAATATACCAACGTGCTCTACACAACCTCAGGATCACAACCATATTTTTAGAAAAAATTTCCTCCGCCGCACGCGCTGGCCACGCGCAGGCACGTGTGGTGCACACGGACGGCGTCAACTGACGCCGTTAGGAATATTCCGTCAAAACTGACAGATTCCGTTAACGGCGTCAGGAAAATTCCGTCATAACCCTGACGGAATATTCCGTCACCTTCTCCGGCGAGACTCCGGCGCCGTCGCCGGAAAACCTGCAAATCGTGTTTTCTCGTTCGTTTTTCAACCGTTTTTCATGATTCTTGCACCAAATTAAAGCTTAGGACTAGTAGAACACGGGCCCTACAAGTTTTAAGGCCTAAAAATTACTAAATCATACCTGTCCACAAACTCCAAAACCGGCCAAACTCGAACCCAACGATCCCGACGTCCAAATTCGTCCAACGAAACACTCCGAGATTCCTGGGAACCTCACTAAGACATCTATGTGCTTCAAAAGTCCAAAAACATGCTAAAATGAGTTTGCATGAATAGTGCTCAAATCGGAAAATCTCGAATCGACATGAAAATGGTGGTTTCCCTACCTGAAAATGGTACGTCTGTGTTCCCCTCGACCTCACGATCACGACTGCACCCTTGGTTTCCTCGATCTGCTACGGTTTGAGGGAGTTGTGTGCTTGTCCGTACGTTTACAGAAGGAAGAAGAAGAAAGGGAACTCGGGAGAGAGAGAGAGAGACAGAGAAAATGACAGAGGGAGAGGGAGAGTGAGACAGTGTGTGTGTGTGTGTGGCCCAACACTTGCCAACACCACACAAACAACCAAACAACATAACAAAACAAACTAGGGGTAAAATGGTCATTTCACCTATGCATTTCGATAGTTTCGGGACGGGGTGTCACATAAGATATGTATGTTAAAATGTTAATAATTTAAAAAATAAAATTTCTCACCACTTCTATAAAAATAAGTGGTGTACCACCCATATTCCGGTTACAATAAAAAATTTCTCGTAAAATCCATCACAAATTATGTTTCTAGTCAATTTTCTCGAGAAATTTTTCATTGTGACGGGAACATGATTAATATACCATGTGTTTTTATATAAGTGGTGAGAAATTATATTTTTTAAGTTATTAACTTTTTGGCACACGTATCTCACTATTGATATAGTAATATCTCGTGTTTTAGTTACATTGAAAAATCTCTGAATTTTCTCAGTCAATTGATGGTTATTGTTTAGTGTAGTCGCCTGTCGTGTCGGAGGCCAGGTTTACAAATGTCCATATTCATCTCTTTTCTCTAGGTTTCAAAATTATCCAGCGCCTTTGTTGAAGAAACTAGCTCAGCTCAAGGTGAATTGTTGTACATACTGTGTGTAGAAAACCGTGTAAAACTTAACTTAGTTGACAATGACCTGAAAATGAAACCGAAACCGTTCGGTCATAACATACATCGTCGTTTGATTTTCTTTCTTGTTTGGGAAATTTTACTTAAATCTATCTAACTTTTTTCTACACCTAATTTAATTTTTAAATGTTAATTATCTATTTTATCCTATTATATAATTACTATTAAGTACAAAATGAAATTAATAATAAAAATCAAATTTATCAATAGACCCACATACTATAACTAAACTCTAGCATTACTCTTTGTTTATCTTACATTCATTCCGACTAAAACCCTAATAGCTCTGATAGAGAAAAACAAGCTTTTCTATTGATGGATGGTGATTTTGAAGTTTTTAATCCTCCAACTAAAGTATGACTCGATGTATGAATCTTTTGTTTGTTTACTTCTTCTTTGGATTAAATTTCATACTTTTTATATTATATTGTATTTGTTTCTCTATGTCGTCTGTATGCGCCCCAAAACACCAGTACAAGAACTTTTGATTAATACTGCAAAGACATAAAACTTGATTCTTTGTGCAAATAAAGATTGCTCAACCTTAGCCACGAACTAGCGGGTGGCATGTCTTGCATCTTTTTTTATTCGAAATAGCTTTAATTTGTTTATTAACATAGCAGCAAAACACCCAGTCCTATGTCACTTCAAAGTTTCTTAAAAAGTACATGAACATGCTCGATTTAAAAAGGACTGAATTGGAGCTTGCATAACATTCTCTTGGCCAATTCAAGTCTATGGAATGATTTTTGGATCCCAAGTCCATGGATGGGTTGTGGTATCAACACCAAAAAAGAAAAAAGCAACCATGGAAATGCTAGTCCTATCCGGCATATGCAATTATAGGGGGCAAAAGATGCCTCCTTGAAAAAAAAAACTTTCAACTAGAAATGTTATTTTATAAAGAGAATGAGTGTAAATATAATTTTACATTTTGAATTGGGTTTGAGAGGATAGTTTAGATAATAAATTTGGGTTTAAAGAGATATTAATTATTTAATAAAAAACAATATGAATGAAGAAAGTAAGTTGATGTAGAAAAATATTAGATGAGTTCGAATAAAATTTCCATTCTTATTTTCTGTTTTGCTTGTATTTGTCCCTTGAAGTGTGCAAAATCCACTTTGCCTCATCAAAATGCATTTTGACCAAATTTGGCGGATTTGACGACGGGAAGTAAAACAGAACACTGAAACATGGTTTAGAGGGAGCTATCCAACTGTGTTACATGCGGTCTATGGGCCACAAGAAATGACACTAGGCAGAGTATTCCCTACCAAGTCTTCCTGTTCTTCCAGCGACTGCTCTGGCTGCTTGTGAGCAAGAGTTCTCCCAAAAAGGGCTTTTTGTTATAGGTAAGTTGAGTAAAAAAGTGTTGGAATCGAAGTGACATTACTAGTAACACATCATTTAATTTGTAAATTTTATCTATAAATTTAATCTTCATAGTATCACCCTTTATAAACGTGGTGTTACAAGTTTTTCTTTCAAGTCTTTCCTCTTCCACAACGTCACATGAAGCCCCATTTTTTTGAATACATAATAATCAAAGATTAGTTGTCATTCAATTTAAGTTTAATATTAAAGCTTGAGACTAAACAATTAAAAGCACATACATTTATTTTCCACACTTAATATCAAATCAAAAGGCGAGTTACCATGTATTCTCTTTTCATTTCAAGAAAAAATTGGAAAGAATACAATAACTTTATTTCTCGAATACCCAAAGATATGCGGCTTTTCAGCCAAAATGATCATTGAGATTGACATAACTCCTCACTTTGGTCATTGATAGTGAAAAATTGATAGAAGTTGTTCATGAGTTTGTCAACCGTAAATTATTGTAGTCATTCTGTGAAAAATTTGTTGATATTCTTTTAGCTTTTGCATTATTGGATAAAACTCTGCAATTATTTCATGTAAACCTAAGAAGTTGCCATTAGATACTTCATAAGGTATTTCATTTGTTCCACGAAACGCTAAATTACAGATGACAAGTCATTTCACAACAACAGTAATTCTAATTATTACTTGTTTCCAATGCTATATCTCTTTCTTGATTCTCATTTGGAATTCTTTGACAATTGCGTGTTTTTTTGTGAATCTGTGTAACATCATTTTCTATCAAATTTACAAATGTCTCATTCTTTTTGGGAAAAAAAAATTATTAAGAGATTCTCTTAAACTTTCAGAAATTTCGTTATCCTTTTCCTTTTTTTTTCTTCATATTATTATAGAGTTGTTTCTCATAGACATGGCTTTAATAATTTGTTACAAAAGTTACTTACACACAGCATAACAAAAATTTCTAATAAAAATTATAATTCCAATATATATCATATATTATAAAAAGCACTAACTGACTAACATATATTATATATATATATATATATATTTTTTTTTTTTTCAAACATATATTATATATCATAGAAAGCACTAGCATATATTAAAAATCGATAAAACTGAAAGAAAAAAATGGGTTTGACCTGAAATTCCAGATTGTTACCGCTGCAGGTGGAATGAAAGGGACGTATGGCATCGCCACCGTGCTGGATATTCCATGTTTGAATGCAAATTGGGTGTTCCGTGTTCGACTTGAATACTGGAACTAGAATTTCGAAGCGGCAATTCCGGAAGACGAAGAGAAGAATGTGGGTGTGCAGACTGTATCAAAATAATAATTTTTTTTTTTTTTTTATCCATTTTAGGCTCTGGACAGGGACGTGTTAGTATTGGTCTTGGGTCGGCCCTGTACGTCAGGCAATGTTTTTTAGGGTATGTCCTATTTTCTGGTTGTGATAATTTTTTTTATTTAATTTATGGTTTTAAAATGCAGGCTGGTGCCACCTACTATTAAGGTTTAGTAATATTCCTCTTCACTTGTAAGTGAGAGGTTTTAAGTATGATTCTTGCCAAATGCGAGTTTGTACCACGTTATTACTAACCAATTGTAAGGCTAAGTCCACTCCCTTCCCCTTAGTCCATTATTTGGTAAGAATAGAATCTAAAACCTCTCGCTTATAAGTATCAAACTTAAAACCTCTCATTTTCTATGGGTCCAAATATTTGAGGACACGGGTCCCTGACCCGGACCGTATCAACACTCCAATTTTTTATTGAATTAATCTCCACCGTCCACACCCATTTTCCACACATATCACAAAATCACAATTCACACGGGTCTCTCTCAGTTTCTTGATCTCTCTCTCTCCATAATTCACACACCATCCACCGTTCGTTGTCGTTGTGAGTGGGAATTGTTCGTCGGTGGTTCGACGTCGACTCCCTCCCTCAGTGCCTCTCAACTCGATTGGAAATTGGGTTTGTTTTTCTGCCTGGGTGGGAATTGCTTCTCTATGGGATTTTGTAGATGCGAAGCTCTTTCTGGATTTTATGCAAAATACTTTCTATGGGACATCTCCACGGTTGATTGGTCCAAAGCAACACTTTTTGGGTTTTTTGTGAATTGTTTTATGCCAAATGCTTTCTGGGTTTATTCAAATTTTGATCAATACCATAGTTCACAAATCAGTACTAAATTTATCGTACTACACTACATCTCCACCTAAATTAACCCTGAACCTCTCTCTCTAGATCTATAATTTTCTTTAATCATCATGATTGTTAGATTGTTTTTTAAGAGAGATTAGGTTATGGATATGAAACCCATCTAATTTTGAAGCTCAATCAGATAGTTTCTATTCTGAAAAAAAAAAAAAAAAAAAAAAAAAAAAAACCCGTCGACCCGTAGGAACCGACCCGTTTGAAATGGCCTGGGTTAGATCCGGATTCCGTTTTCAAATTTCTATTATCAGATCCGCCCCACTTCGTTTTATTTTCAAATCGGTCCAGTTCGGTCCCTTTCATTTTGGACCTGGCCTAACTCGTGCCCAGCTCTGATACATCATAGAAAGCACTAACATATATTCCAACATATATTAAAAATTGACAAGAATGAAAGAAAAAGCCTGATATTCCAGATCGTTACCGCTGCAGGTGGAATGAAAGGGACGTCTGGCATCGCCACTGTGCTGGATATTCCATGTTTGAATGCAAATTGGGTGTTCCGTGTTCGACATGAATTCTGAAACTCGAGAATTTCGAAGCGGCAATTAAGACCGGAAGACGAAAAGAAGAATGCGGGTGTAAAAACTATATCAATATATATATATATATATATATATATATATATATATTTGTTTGTTTTTTTTTTAATCCATTTTAGGCTTTGTATTGGACTTCGGTAGGCTTTGTTTATCACACAATGTTTTTTAGGGTCAGCCCTATTTTCTAGTAGTGATATTTTTTTTATTATTTAATTATGGTTTTAAAATGCAGGGTGGCGCCACTTAGTATTAGGATCAAGTGATTTTCTCTTCATTTGTGAGTGTGAGATTTTAAGTTCGATTTTCATTAAATGCAAGTTTAAATCAAGTTATTGCTAATCCATTGTGAGCCTAGGCCCACTCATTTCCCCTTAGCTCATTGTTTGGTGAGAATCGAACAAAAAACCTTTCGCTTGTAACTGTCAAACCTTAAACCTCTTAGTTACAAGTAAATATAAGAACGTAGTACTAACTACTAAACGGCCGCAGGTGAGGAATTAAATTATGGTTTTAATTCTGTGTTTAACATTTTGGTTTCTGAGCAGTCTAAGTTTGACGAAAATTAAGCATTTGTCAAATCATCTAAACAAAACAAACATCATATGGCTATATATTTGTCTGAAATGTTCAAGTATTCATCATCTCTTTATTTACAAAGATATATCAGTGCAGTAATTTCCCAAACCCTAGCTAAAATCGATATAGTTCAAGTGAGACGATGATATCGAAAACTCAGCCTAAGGTGGTTCCTGTTGTAGACTTATCCGATGAAAACTTGAAGCCTGGAACAGATGCATGGCTCTTGGCATGCAAACAAGTCCAGCATGCACTAGAAGAGTACAGCTGCTTTGAAGCTGTTTACAATAAAGCTACTTTGGAAATTCACAACTCCATCTTTTCTGCGATAAAAGATCTATGTGATCTTCCATTAGAAACTAAAATGCAGAAGGCCAATGATAGGCCTTTCCACAACTATTTTGGCCAACTTCCACTCAATCCTCGCTATGAGACCTTGGGCATTCAAGATCCAGCATCCTTAGAAGGAGCTCAACGCTTCACAAATATCATGTGGCCAGCAGGAAATGACCATTTTCGGTAAGGAAAATGCTAGAGAGACTACATGTTTGTACCACATTGGTGTATCATCTAATGTGCTAAGTGATGTATACATATCACGTCAATTAATGAGTTTATCTCATGTTGGTTGTATAAATCACTTATCATATGATGGGTACATCAATATGATATAACTCTGTAATCTCCTTATTACTCTTTTCGGCAATTGATTACTCAGTCCAAAGTTTTCCTTTTTTTTATGCACGTATATATGGACCTGTTGAGGAATGCTAAAGAGCACTCCTAATTACATTTGTCGTAAAAATTTACGTGTTTCCAAGTTCTAGAAGTACTTTTTGAAAAACAGTTGTCAAATGATTCTTCAGGAAGTCATTCATGAAGAAGCATTTAGATGAGCATAACTACTTCTAACAAAAGCAGTCCCAAACAAGTTGGATATCGCTAGACTTATGCTAGCAGATTAGATTCAGATCAAACATTTAGTGAAGAATCAACTTGATCAATTATCCGAATTTAAATTCTGACAATGGAAGCATAGTATATATACTATTCAAAACTATGGTAATTAAAAGAGCATAAATATATAAAATTAACATTATGTTTGTTCTTTGAACTAGTGAAAGTGTTCATTCCTTCTCAAAGGTGGTGGTAGAATTGGATCAAATGGTGAAAAGAATGGTGTTTGATGCTTATGGTGTGGGGAGGCTTTATGATTCTTACAAGGCATCAACCACTTACCAGCTTAGATGCATTAATTATAAATCACAACTTACGAATGAGACTACTGATTTGGGACTGATTCCTCACACGGACAAGAATTTCACATCCATACTACACCAAAATGATGTCGGTGGCCTGCAGATCAAAACAAAGGATGGCGAGTGGATTGAGGCTGCACCTTCTTCACCTTCATCATTTCTAGTGTTGGCATCCGATTTATTCATGGTGGGTCACTTCCACATACCATGTCGTTTTAGCTTAGATCGTTGTATTGCAACTTGTTCTTTTACAAAACGATATTCTAAACTGCTTGATTAGTTTACGGGAAGTGGATTCAAACTCGGGTGTAAGGGGAACAATGCAAACTGCACTAGGGAACGTAACTCACACTTTTGCTTTCTTTTTTTTCTTTTTCTCTATTTTCATTTTGTAGGCATGGAGTAATGACCGAATATCCGCCTGTGAGCATCAAGTCGTCCTGAAAGAGAAGAAAGCAAGATATTCACTGGCTTTATTCTCATATATAGGTGATGGAGTTGTACAGGTACCTGAAGAGTTTGTTGATGAAAAACACCCCTTAAAATATAAGCCATTTGGTCATTTCGATTACCTTCGTTTCTATGAAACTGATGAGGAGGCCCGGAAATCGAAGAATCCTATCAAAGCCTACTGTGGTGTTTAAGATCTCTTTTGATCTGAGAAGAGAGAGGCACCCTGTCTTCGTTTCGTTTCTTGCTGCAGTTTCTCTACTGCACGTAATATTACAGTAATGTACGCTTTGACCGTTTCTTTGCTATTGAATAAAGAAAGTTGTGTGTGGGAAATATGTTGAATGCCCACTTTATAATGTTATGGTTATGGTAATGTAATAATTTTCAATGAGTACAAAAATATGCAATATCACATATAAAAACTTTTAAGATGAACTAAAATATTTTTCTAAAGTTCTTTGAGTTTGCTGGTATGTAATACTTTGTCAACATAGACACTTTCTTGTTGAAACCAAAATGTTCTAACTTCTCAAGCATGTTTACAACTTTTTGGCATGAAACCTTAAACACTTCCAAGCTGTCATCCTCAAGATTATCACATTCTCCTTCTTGCCTAATTACAACAATGATTTCTTCTTCAGTTAAAGCGTAGACAACTTGTTGCTCATTTGGATGATTTAGAGGTATACATTAATATCCACTTGATTAGCATGGACAACGGGTTTCAAGGAACAACAACTTGGAGTACAAGTGAAGAAAGTATATATGTGCAAGAAATAAAACACTTGGCACCCTAAGAATCCTATTTAGGAAATTCAACATTCATTAAGGATAATTAAGTAAATAAATAATATTTTTAATTCCACCTCTATCAAGTAATAACCTATGTAAAGTTATAAAATTAGTATGGTCCTAACTTTATGACGTTGTAGACGTTTTATTGTACATATTTTTTAATAAAAAAAAGGGTAAATTGCATTTTCATACCTCAGGTTTGAGGTCTATTTCAATTCTTTACAACATTTTCAAAATATTTCACTTTCATACCTTAAGTACTATTTTATTTCAAAATAATATATCCGTTACATTTTCCATCCATTGATGTGTTAAATGCTGACGTGGTTGCCAAATGTCTTCCATGTGGCAAAAAAAAAAAAATTAAAAAAAAACAAAAACAAAACATGAATTTAAAAAAACAAAAAACTTGAAAAAGCAGAAACCCACCCCACCCCTGCAACCCCTCTTCTCCCTCCCAAGCATCCCAACATCCCTAAACCTACAACAAGAAGAAAGAAGAAGAAGAAGAAGAAGAAGAAGAAGAAGAAATTAAGAGGAGGAGGAGAAGGAGGAAAAAAAAAATCCCAGAAATCATCTTCGCATGAGGGGTTGGGGGGTGGAGACGGAGGGATAGTTTCAAATTTTTTTTTTTTCCTTTCTTCCTCCTGTAGACATCAAAAATTCGGTGAAATGAATGTTGACCAATAATTAAAATTTCAACGTTCACGTGTCACATAAATTTTACATGTAGCGTGTGATTCAACGAAAAATCGAAATAAATTGGAAAAGTCATCAAATATGACACGTGTCAATACCTGGCAGAAATGATTTATTTCATCTGATTATTTAAATCCAAAAATCAAGTTTTGGAATTCTATAAATAGGAAGCTAAGGCATTCATTTTGGGGGGAGAAGGAAGAAAGAAAAAAAGAAGGAAGAAAGAAAGAAAGGAAGAAAGGAAGAAGCCTTGAAACTCTAAAGCTCTCAAGCAAATCCCGAAGGATCAAGAAAGCATTCTTTGTTCATCGTTCATCATCCGTTCATCCTTCAAGATCAAGCCCCAACGGCCCTTGAAGAACTTCCACCAACTCAAGATCAAGCCCCGACGGCCCTTGAAGAAAGTGTTCATCGTTCATCATCCGTTAAATATATTTTGTACACGTATTCTTGTCGCTTGTTTCAGGAATTTCTCGTGTTTACACCTCCCTCTTCCTCTTCTTCTTCTTCTTCTTGTTATTGTTGCATATGTGGGTTAGTTGGGGTGTGGGAGACGGGAGGGATAGTTTCAAATTTTTTTTTTTTTTTTCCTTTTCTTCCTCCCTCTTCCTCTTCTTCTTCTTCTTCTTCTTCTTGCAGATGTGGGTTAGTTTTTTTTTTTGTTGGGGGGGGGGGGGGGGGAAGGGATAGTTTCAATTTTTTCTTTTTTCTTTTTTCCTCCTCCTCTTCTTCTTCTTCTTCTTGCAGACTGTGGGTCGCTGTGTATTTCAATTATTTATTTATTTATAGGTGGAAAATTCAGGTTTTGGGTGGGATGGGATGGGTTTTTGGATGGGAGGGGAGGTGAAGAGAGTGGAGGAGAGGGAGGTGGTTAGGATGCTTGGGAGGGAGAAGAGGGGTTGTGGGGGTGGGGTGGGTTTCTGTGTTTTCAAGTTCTTTTTTTTTTTTTTTTTAAATTCATGTTTAAAAAAATATTAAAAAAATCTTTTTTTGCCACATGGAAGACATTTAGCAGCCACGTGGCATATATGTGGCAGCCACGTCAGCATTTAACGGATCAATGAATGAAAAATGTAACGGAGGTATTATTTTGAAATAAAATAGTGCTTAAGGTATGAAAGTGAAACGTTTTGAAGATGTTGTAAGAAATTGAAATAGACCCCAAACCTGAGGTATGAAAATGTAATTTACCCTAAAAAAAATTCATAAACAAAGAAAGAAATAATTAACCACACACAACGTGTGTTTGAAGATTCAATAAAAAAATGTAAAATTGCTATTTTGTCCCTATTTTTTTGGGTAATTGTTCATTGTTCTTCTCTATTAAAGTGAGGGCATTGTAGGAATATCGACGATATTTACTGATTCACTACAACATTGCCGAAACCCATTGTAGATTTCAAACTTTTGAACTCTTTTGGTGAAAATTTTCTCTAATTTCGACTAAATGTAGATGAGTTGATATACCCATCCCGTTGCAAATCTCTGTAATTTTTGTTGAAGCCAACCTATATCGACATCGATATGTCTATTGATATTTTCATGAATTTGCGTATCGATATTTCCACATATATTAATATGTTAAACACTGCTTAGAAGTTATTTTTTTCTTTCCTTCCAAGACTAAAATTTTTAGTTGAAAAGATGCAATGAATTTGAAGGTATAAAGTTTCCCTACTCATAAAAGGAACAAAAGTAAATGTTCCCTCCCCCCAAATTATTAGTCAGATTGTCACATCTCGGCCCGGGTGGCACTACTTCCCGGGCCCGCTCCACTACCGTAGCACGATATTGTCCGCTTTGGGCTTACCATTCCCTCACGGTTTTGTTTTTGGGAACTCACGAGCAACTTCCCAGTGGGTCACCCATCATGGGAGTGCTCTAGCCCCCTTCTCGCTTAACTTCGGAGTTCCTACGGAACCCGAAGCCAGTGAGCTCCCAAAAGGCCTCATGTTAGGTAGGGATGGGAATATACATTTAAGGATCAGTCCCCTGGGCGATGTGGGATGTCACAATTGATAATTGTCACATCCCGGCCCGGGCCCCCATCATAACCCAGGCCCGCTTCACTACCGTAGCACGATATTGTCCGCTTTGGGCTTACCATTCCCTCACGGTTTTGTTTTTGGGAACTTACGAGCAACTTCCCAGTGGGTCACCCATCCTGGGATTGCTCTCGTGCGCTACTCGCTTAACTTCGGAGTTCCCATGGAACCCGAAGCCAGTGAGCTCCCAAAAGGCCTCGTGCTAGGTAGGATGAGAATATACATTTAAGGATCAGTCCCCTGGGCGATGTGGGATGTCACACAAATGAAATAGCAATGTTACTTGCCAAAAACGGTAATAAGAAATCCAATAAAATAAAAACAAATACAGTAGGATAAACCCTACGCTCACAATGAAAAGATTACTTGGACCCGAGGAGAATTCCAGAAACCTAACTAAATTCAGTCTTAAAATTGACACAAATTGAGGTGATACATGCACGTCTACTGGCGTACCTACGCTATGCCAAATATGCTTTTAAGGGTAATATTAAGTAAATCAAATTTATATAATTAAGTTAGCCAAGAATGAAAGAAATGCAATATTGATTAATTATATCGGCCTCAAGAGAAAAACTTGGTGTCCTCAGTGACTTAGTTGATAATACATTGTTAATTTATGTGAAAAAATGTCTATGCATGTAATTTTATTGTTTGCTTTTAGTACGTAGGAAAAGAGGGAATGACTACGTGCATGGTCATTTGCATATAAGAAGTGAGAGACTTATTTTACTCGCGCGTTGTACAAGTTATCTTTTCTTTCCATCTAACATTATGTTTAATAAACCACAAGCTGGTGGCTCAGTGGTAAGTGACAAATTATGAGGCTTCCTTCAAATTAAAAACTAGAGGTCTCAGGTTCGAAATCTGCTGATGGTGTGGAAACCAGACTTGTGGCCAGGGAAGAGACTGAAATGCCTATGTGAGTCTTTTCAGCCCCCTTGTGGATAACCGTAGCTTTGCCACCAATTGTCCTCCTTATTAAAAAAAAAAAAATTGTGTTTAGTACGCAGGAAAAGAGAGTTCCTCTAAAAAATCACTTCCTTTCCCATATTGGAGAGGCCTAAACTTGGAAATCCGGAGGAATTTTTTTAATAAATAGTCCAAAGAGAGGTAGGTTTTTGGTATTCTTATCTAATCCAGGTCATCCTCTTGTATTTATTGGACAAATATGCGTGTGGGTACTTCATTTTTTTCTTTCCATTTTGTTCTTTTAGATTTTTTTCATGAAATAGCAAGATTACTTGCCAAAACGGCAATAATAAAATAAAAACAAAATGGAAAGAAATATACACACATAGATACTTGTCTAATAAGTACATGAAAGATGACTTGGACCGGAGGAGAATTCCAGAAACCTAACCCTACATTCAGTCTTATAAATTGACCCACATTGATCGAGGTGATGTTGAAAATCAATGTCAAAGATGTTGAAAATCAATGTCAAAGTTAGGTATGAAAAATTAGGCAATGTTAGGCATGGTTGAATAAAAATAAATTAGGTGAAATTAATGTGTTTTGTGTGGTAATAAATAATCTTAGTTTATTCATTTGGTTTGCTATAAATACCCAAGTTCTCAAGCATTGTAAATCATCCAAGGAAATACAAAGCCTAGAGCTAAATAAGAAAAGCTTTGCGAATTAGTTTGTTTTGTGAGCTTTCTTTAAGAGTGTGTTCTA